AAATTTCGCAGGGCTATATTATCCGCATTTTACAACATTTCGCAACGAAACTTCGGAATATTACTAATTTTGTGATGCTCTTTCAAGCTGTGATGAAATTTTTGTCTAGACTTGTCTAGATCAAAATTTTAGTTATAAGGTTAAAGGTCCATTGGCTCCACTTGTATTCCTTGACCTTGACTGGTGGATCACAACTGGGTATCTAGGGTGCCTGATGGATATCTCGCCACATTACCCATACCTCGCGCTGTCAATGAAACTAATGACAACTGACTAGCATGAATGTCTTTGACGTCATCGTCATTAGAACCCAGGCCGCGGACTTGAATGAGCGGAGATCCCGTATTGCGTGCTTCTTGGATTCTCTGTAGTTCCAAGTCTGTTAGATTGTCATCCGCGGTGACGAAGCTCTTGTCTCCGTTGTCCGCTGGCTTGTTGGACTTACAGAAATACCACGAGAGGAAATACAAGATGGTCGCCAGTACTGGAAGTGAAAAGCAAGCATTAAAATAAGTAATTTTTACATTTTTTCTCGCTAGATTTCAGTTAATATTTAAGTCTGGTTTATGGTGACAATTTATTGAAAAATATGGCTGTAAACAACAAGCAGTGCCTATGTATATATAATCTACACACTCTGGAATGGCAATTTTAACAGATATGGAGTGCTGTTTTGTGAAGCATCAGACACTTAGTTAACTAAAGGGTAATACTAGATTGATCGATGGTATCTAATACTAGATTGATCGAGGTATATTACAGAATATTATTCTGTAATAAAATTAATATCTCTTAAACTTCATGTGACAAGGTTTGTTGGCTTCGTAGGCTAACAGAAACATCACCGATGTGAAATATTGATCGAACTCGTTGATTTTGCTGACGAGCTTTAACGTCCTATAAACTTATGCGTTTTGTTCGAAATAGTTAAAATTTAAGACATTGAACTCGTTTTGCTTATAGACGAGTTCTATCTGGGCACATCAGTTATGCCGACAGTACAATATTGTAAATTGTTCTAAACGAGCTAGGCCTCCTCACATAGTAGTTCAATCGACAAAGGTTTAGCGGATGATCATTGCAGTGAAGCTAATCCTATTCTTACCTTGGAATAACAATCCAGCAGCGAGAATAAGATAGCTAAGCTGTGCATTATCATATTCAAGACATGCTCCCGTCTCATTACATCTTTCTTCCCAGAGATTACATGTCTTGTCTATAAATGCGCCAAATAAGACTGGCCCAGGCATTGAGCCGAGCGAGGACATGATTAACCATTGAAATCCTAATGCGTACGATCGTAAGTTGTATGGTACGGATCTGTAAAACATAACCATAACTGTAGGAAATATGCACCACCATGGTCACCAAAAGCAATGACCAAAAATTTCCACCATCAAACCACCGCGAATACTTTCACTACCATCACCATATTCATCTTACATAACCACTGAACCATTATAGTCCGGATATAATCGAACCAACGTAACCATCACCTTAACCTTCATCCATCACCATCATGAACTGCCTTGCTATATACTGTAACAATCTTTCCATCGCGAAAACCATCATAGCCACCACAATACCATGACAACCAAAACCATTACTAAGGTGACGATTAATACCGTTGCCATTATCGCTACCACAGCCGCTAGCATCACTACCATTACCATCAATACCACCATCGGTACCACCAGCACCACTACAGCCACTATCTCTACCACCACCATCAGTACCATCACTATCACCACCATCAGTACAACCACCATCGTTACCACCACCATCACTAATCATCACAGCCAATACCACGAAAAGTACACTTACCGTAATACCACAGTCTTATTGGGTGTGGCCACGATGAAGTTGGTAAACAACAATACAAATGCTCCAAATAGGAACGGTACTAGATTTTTGCACTTTTTGTCACAAGTCCCTGGTTTAGCAGAACTCTCGGACAACGAAAGATTCATTGCTTTTGCGATACATCGACAATGCGAATACGTCTATTAAAAAGAAACACATCTTGAGTTTTAAGATCGCATCTTACACACAGTGACAGCTCTATTTCTATTATTATTTAAGTAGTTTACCACATGAAATATACCTTGTTCTCAAACATAATTGAGCAGCCAGCGTGACAGGGGTCATAAAAAGTAATGTTATTTCTTCCACAGGTTGGAATATAATCAATTTTCACACAGTTACAGGGACTGTAACATGACGACATATTCTGAAGTCTTGTCCTATAATGTACGCAAGAGAAGCGAATTAACCACAGCATTGTGCCATTGTCACTTTTGATATAGAATGGGGAGATAGCTGCCTGAGTGGAGTAGGTGGATCCATAAAGCAACAAAGGTACAAGACAAGCTTTCGTCGGTAGCGATGCAACTACCTTAAAAATATGAGGAGAATTTCGACTGGGCCCAACGAGAAGGGTCTTCGCTCAAAACGTCGAAATTCTCCTTATATTTTCAGGTAGTTGCATTCCTACCAACGAAAGCTTGTTAATGCTTTTGGCACTACGTACACTGGCATATACAGTTCAAGGGTACAAGACAACTATCATGAACACAGTGACCCCCTCCCAAAAAGAACCCCACCAAACTAAGTTGTAGTAGTGGATCTTAATAGGACCGCCGAAAATAACTAAAGAAGGGGGGGGGGGGGCACAAATTTGATCCTGAACCCCAAGTCTGAATTGGAAAGTAACCCTGAAGAAGGGGCTTCTCTTCAAGACAGCAGTATTCCCTATACTACTTGCGGCACGAGTTTAATCCTACATAAGGTAGGGTCTTTGAAGGGGCTTCTCTTCAAGAAAGAAGTATTCCTATGCCAAACTTGCGGCACGAGTTAATCCTACCAGCAGTATTCCCTATACTACTTGGGCACGAGTTAATCCTAAAAAGGCAGGGTCTGGTTTGAAGAAGTGCGGGTCGCGTTGTCCTCCTACAAGCTCAAGGTCCACACCACTTACATTTCCGGATAGGGAGTATTCACGCCAGCAATAACTGTCGTCTGACATCCGGGGATCAAGAACGTCAACGTTCCAAAAATCCCGACGAAAGAGAAGATGAGACAGTACTTTGCAGCATCTTTACACACGATCCGCTGGTCCAGCCGTTTGATCAAGTAACTTCCCAGGATGATACCGCCTGCGGTACCGGGGATGATTACTACTCCAGCAAAGATGCCAGCATCTGCCGTATTGGCGCCAAACTGCGACTGTAAGAACTTGGATATGAATGGTGCTAAGCCTGTGACCACCAGTCCTGTGCCAGTCAGGGCTAATGTGTTGCACATGTACACCGCATTACACACAAGATATTTTGTAGCTGGGATGATTTCTGACATGCGGCCGTGCAACTTCTGGTTGCTTTGCATTACTTTGCCTAAAATATATGAAGCTTTATGTCAAGTCTGTAGATTTTAATTTTGTGGAGGTGGCCAAACGTTTGAATGGAGATCTGGGAACAACCAAGCGAACCAAAACTAGTGGCCTGGGGACGAAAATGGAAGGCAGAATAGCTTTTAAATTTGGCTCAACAGCCTCAACTTCGGACTATTTTTGGAGTTGATCGTTTTAATACAGGTTTAGATGTAGATATCTATGAACAAATTTAATTTAAGTTAAAGCGAAAAACTTACCGTCGCGAATAGCTCGAGCACGAATCTCCTTCGTTCCAGGCATCTCACGTGGATATGCAAGGATAAGCAAGGATGTAACGAGCAATAGAATACCACCACAGAAATACCCTAACCACCACGCACCCACCCAACGTGGGTCAGATGGTGTAAGATCCATGTCAGGAGGCTGTAATGAAAATGTAATATTAAGAGTTTGCTTACGTGATTGCGGAATATCTTGCCAGCAAAACAGCAAACTATACCTGTATTAAGTCTACATAAATGTTCATCAATGTTCCACCAGCGAGGTATCCGACCCCAGGTCCAAAGAAAGTCGCAATGAACCACACTCCAATGTACATGGGGGCCACCTCCGGGGACACATTCTCGTCGATATACGCAGGACCAAGGGTAAAAGCCGGGGTCATGCCTGCACCGAGAACTAACTTTGCTCCAATAAATACAAACATATATTTCCAGTCCGAGGCGGAGAGATTCTCACATGATGTTGTAACGTTATTAGAATTTGGAAAACACAAGGACTTCTCAAGAGTATCCCTCACGCTCTCATTTGGAGCATATTTCCCCGCAAGTACGTGGGGTAACGCAAAGAGAAGACAGCCAATACTAGTCACCAGTGCTCCGATGCCGATCCACTTTGCCTTGTGTCTAGTTTCACCGTAGTAACTTACAAATACAACAAAGATCAAAGAGGAGACATCATGTGCCGCAACGATCATCCCAGCTTGCTTACTAGTCAGTTGAAAACGACGCTCCATTGACGTTAGCCCAGCTGCTGTGAAACCGCTGATGATCATGCCTGCCGAGGAAAACAGAGCTGGTTATACAAAATCGAACTCTACTAAAGTTCATCCATGTCTTCTTTGTCTTATCTTACCTTGGACACACGAGAAAACGGTGAAAAAGAAGAGGAACCATTTTGGACTGTTAAACTGTTGCATGAACTTCGGTTTCCACGAGCGCCATCCGCATCTCAAGTCCAGACTGTCTGTATCTTCCTCATCGGCCATTCTCTCGCTTTACAACTCCTTAAAAATATTGAATATATCATCAGATTAAGTCCTGATAAAATGACTCGTTGGTAGTCATGCGACCTTTGTTAGCTGTTCCTAATACTTTTCCAACACTATCATGTATTGTAGTTATACAATTACACGCATCAAACCTTTATGTGTTAATCTATAGAGCTTGAAATTTTCCGCCGTAACAATGCGTGACTACCAAGGCAGTCTCGTCAATTCTCATCTAAATATCAGACCAACGCGCGGCACCGCTCTTCCACAGCCATATCAATTATTGAGATTCAAGTGTATTGCGATGGCTGCCTGCGGAGTAGACTATATCAGATCCACTACGAATATTCTTGATGGTGACGAAATCAACTATCAATTTTAGAGAGGTTCAGATTTGACTTCCACTCTCTCTCACTGACTTGGTATACGCATCTGATTGGTTAATCGGATATATCAAACGCATCTGATTGGTTAATGGTTCCTTAATGGCAGCCGTAGTGGAAGTCAAATCCGAACTTCTCCTTTGTCTTGTGAATGATGAAGCAATATTTTGCTATACGATTTTCACCATGAGAAGATAAAACTTTTAAGGTACTCGTACGATATATTTTTCCCACGCTCGATACTAGACCTATTCCCTAAACTTGTTCCAAAGTTGTACATACGTCTGAAACAAGTTGTGTTAAACAATCTTGTCATAAGCTTGACGATAATATCAGCGTTTCTAAAGTTGTTAACACTAAGAAGTCCTAGTATTGTTTTCCCTCACTGATACGCACGTGGTTGCAAGCATCATGATCTCAACAATTTGATTATGCATACAGATGAATGGGAAGACTTGTAAGAAAGTTGGCGATGGGAAGACTTGTCCTCTTCCCATTGACGTAATTTGTTACAAATTATAAATTTATTATAGCAACAATTAATTGTTCCAAGCTTGCGTCAGGGAACAAAAAGTGCAAACTCATCCTGGTGTTCGTATCATAACGGACCTGTTAAATTACTTTCCTTGCCAAGAAGAACATGTTGAAATTATAGATGCGTGTGAATGGAAAAAATATTAATCATTGTTTGCATTTGATAGATCTATTTCCGGTTCTTAACTGCTATAAAGACTACCTGCATGTTTAAGACTCTTGAAGAAATAAAAAATAGCTTTGGCGAGTTCGACTTGTACACAAGAATGCTGCACATATAACACCAAACAGTCTTATCTACTTTAATTATCTACTATTGTCTCCACTTGATCCGTAAAACAATTGGAAGAAACATCAATTAACTGCCCCTAAAAAAATATGTGTGATTCGACATTCTGCAGTTAAACTTAAAGACAATGTTAAAGATTAATCATTCATGTACAAACTGCATTATTTGTTGTATGCTATAGTATACTCCTTGTAAAATGTCAAAAAAAGTATGAAAGGTGAGTGCTGTAACAACTCTATAAAGTATAGGGATAAATTTCTATATACCTGGGGAAAATATAAAACTCCTGAAATACACTCTTCATGTAGACTAAACTTAGTCTTAGAGATCCGGCGATTTGTCACGCAGATGAGTCGCGTTTTTTTTTATTAAGGATTTAAGCCCGTGCAATGGCACATTCAGTTTAAAAATAACCTTTAAAAGCTTCTGTCTAGTTCTGTGGATCGATTTAAGGTTTTACTCAAGTTAATGGCAAGTATTGTCAATTAGATAATGTCGTCAAATGAAGCCGGTCGAACAGTGTAGGCAAACTGTTTAAACGTATACAGTTGCCGTGTAAAGCTAACGAGAGTCTAAGTCTAAGACTTCATTTTCAAATCAATTGCCTACAGCTGAGTATACTAGACCCGGTCCCTGCTATTGAACACGCAACCGTTAAAAATTGCATGTCTTCATGCAGACCTATGTTCTGCTCTCAGGGTAACCTATTTACCACTTTCACAGTTTCATATTGTTAGGAACTGTAATCTTTATATACAAAGCTCATTTGTTGTGGTTTATTCTACTTTGAAAACACAGTTGGAAAGAAATGAAAACTATAAACGAAACGTGCCACTTACTCGTTATTAATCCGGCATTTCCATGCTTCTATAATAATACCGTCAACTTCGTCAAAAATAATCCGTATTTGGCGGTGCCTACATAGACTCGCACTCTTAATGCCCGTGTCTTTCTATTCTTTTGACATTTTCGTGATAGAGACTCGTTCAGTACAGCCCACGTACTTGAATTTAATACCTTCCTAATAGCTTTTACGTATTCGACTGGCACGGTTTCCTCACAAATATTTTGTTTATATGCCTGCGGTGAGTTCCACAGCACATCCAATGCAATTGCAAGTTTTTTGATGGCATAATTTGTGCGTAATTATTGAATCGACTGGTATTTCAATTTGCCACCCGGCGCTGCTGTGCGTATGTAACAATGGCGATCGCACTTTAACTATCAGAAGTATTTCGGAATATTAAATGTGATCATTCATGTGAACATCTTTTTTTTCTGTAAAAATATCTCTAGTTTCTCATGAGAACGTTTTTAGTGGAAACTTACGATAGTTTTGAGGATATTAATCATTTTCAGATAAGTAACTGAAATTTAAATTTTTAAGTACTTATAGACTAAATATGTCATTGGCATTGGACCACAACTACGAATTAATAATCGCATTATTTTTGAGTGGCTGCCAGCTTCTTAATTGCTTCGCAACGTTGATATTAATATTAATATTTTCGAGACAATTTATATAATATAACCATATAAGGACCAGAAAACAACATGATGGCTTTCATTAAATGAAATAATTTTTTGAAACTACTGTCTATAATTACACGCAGCATACTTATCAGAGGCCGGTCATACGAATGCCATTTCATGCTATGGCTATCAGGCTATGACTCTATTCAGGATCATGACCCCTTGTGCTTTTTAAAATTGGCCATGTATTGGTTACCCTGGATTCCAGAGCCTTCGACAGTAAATAATAAATTGAAATGTCGCGAAGGCTCTGGTTCAACGGGGCGATTCTTTGATTAAGCCGCGCCAATCACAATTCTGTTTTGTGATTGGCGCGGCTTCTGTACTAAAACCACTAATTCTGTTTTGTGATTGGCGCGGCTTAATCAAAGAATCGCCCCGTTGAACCAGAGCCTTTGCGACATTTCAATTTATTATTTACTGTCGAAGGCTCTGGAATCCAGGGTATGTATTGGTATAATCCACAGATTATAACCCAAATGTAACTATGTCTATAGTATGTATATTGAATTAAAGTTAGGAGGGCTAAAATGGAGAGGTAGGAAAATAGGGGTGGGAAGGCTAAAATACAGAAGTGGGAAGATAGGGGTAGAAGGGCTAAAATGGATAGGTGAGACAATAGGGGTGGTAAAAGTGCTAAAATAGAGAGGTGGGAAGATAGGGGTGGTAAGAGGGCTAAAATAGAGAGGTGGGAAGATAGGGATGGCGAGAGGGCTAAAATAGAGAGGTGGGAAGATGGAGGTGGGAAGATGGAGGTGGGAAGATGGGGGTGGTAAGAGGGCTAAAATAGAGAGGTGGGAAGATAGGGGTGGTAAGAGAGCTAAAATAGAGAGGTGGGAAGATAGGGATGGTGAGAGGGCTAAAATAGAGAGGTGGGAAGATGGAGGTGGGAAGATGGGGGTGGTAAGAGCGCTAAAATAGAGAGGTGGGAAGATGGGGGTAGAAGGGCTAAAATGGAAAGGTGGGATGATAAGGTCTGGTTGTTTCTGGCATTTTCCATCAACTAGATATGCCACTTGTTGTGAGCCCCACCAAGGGTGTAACCCAGGTCACTTGTCATTCACTTTGTAGCTGCTTTGTCACTTGTTTTATTGTAATAAATGTCGCTGTCACTTTTGACCAATAACACAAATCGCAACTTGTCGCATTTTCCCAGTCAGTAGCTGTCATTTGTCACTCTTTTTTAGATAGTCTGTCACCTCTTTTTAAGCAATGTGTCGGTCATAACCCCTTGGTGGGCCTCTGTTGTCTGTTTTGCAGCTGAAAAATTTTTGCCCAAAGAAAGCTTTGCAGTAGAAAAGAGGAATATTTGGGGGAAATTTTGGTGTTTTGTAAGGCACTCCACTCCCCTCTCGAAAGGTTTTGGCAGTTGGCAAGGTCCCCCTCCACCCCACAACATAAATCAAATAAGATTATGCACAACACTGTCAACACAAGCTTAGATTTTCCTGCTTACAGGGCCATGTACAAAAAAAAATTGTAAAGCAACATACTGTTTTGAAATGTCAGGTGGTTTCTTGTTGCAAGCAAACATCAGTACTGCAGGATATTGAATAGTAATATTAAAAAAATTGACATGACTGGTAGGGTTGCCAGGTAACCAAGTGTCCTTTGTCAATAGCAAAGCCAATAACAACCAATATTAATATACAAATTGCAACGTTTAACGATACAAACGAATATAACAAAACCGCAGAATTATGGCACAACAACCAGTTTATTAAAAACAAATGCTAATAAAAGATAAAAATATAGATACGGATCTATATCCAAAACTGATATCAATTTACATAAGCACGGAGATGTCTGATTGTCTGAGTGGCGATTTAAAGTGCTGTCAAATGGACGGTTTTGACCCCCAGTTATAAAATACAGTATTGGCATTTTAAAAGCACTTATTTTCGTTAACACACCCATAGAATGCACACTTTGAGACCTTTAGCTTATAACAAGGAGAAATTGAACGCTGCGAACCGAAAAAAAACTCCGACAAAACTACAATGTTTACATTCTGAAAAAGCAGTCATATGACGTTTATAAGTTTATTATAATGACAAGTTATTACCTGGTGTGATGAACAAAATTCGCCGGTTTAGAAATCAAAAATGATTTTTAAACGTTTTTCAACCAAGACATGAAGGTTATCTTCCTGCTCAGTTAGCATCTTTTCAGAAAGAAGGCAAATTGTCACGCTTTTGACTTTCCTTTTATCAGTACCGCCGCTTTCCACCGCTAGGTTATTTTCAGTGCTCTATTTTGGAATTCAACATCACTCAGAAGTAGCAGTAACCGTAACGAAGACACGAATGCGCATCGATAAAATACGATAAATACCGAAAGTTTAACGATGTTCTGCAGTTGGCTGGAATTGTAAAACTCCTTATTTTTACATTATCAAGCGAATTTTAATTACAATTTAACAACGTATACATTTTATTTAGGTAAGAAAAAATAGGCTAATTTTTCATAAAAACAAATTTATTTGGAATTACTTCGTTAAATAACATCTCTTAAGGTGGCTCCCTACAGTTATAGTCCAGTTTAAAATATTTATATAGCTCAGACGTCATCCTCGCGACTCGCGCGTGGAATCGTCGTGGCCCGGTAAAAATCTTGAAACAAGTATAAAACAAGCCGCGGGAAGTTGTTTTTGTATTTTTATCTACAAAGAAAACGCCAGTTTTTTTATTATAATCCTAAACTTTTCAACATTCGAACAGTACGTATGTTGTTAGCCAGTTTTACCTACATTCAGTGTGTTTTTTTATATATTTAATACGTTCAGTACTGTATTTCATAATGCTCACAATGTTCAACAACACTGTCACGGACTGAAATTATATTTTATACTGTCTTGAAGGCACTCCTGAATTGTCACTGAAACTTACGTAAACCCTGTCATTCAACTCAGTTCACATGTAGTTTTTATCTGCTGAATCCAATAAAATTATAATGCAGACAGTTACGAGTTGTTTTATACGAAAAGTCAAACTCTACTTGAATGTTTTGAAAAGTTTTCACACCGATTTTCATAACAAAACTAAATTTAAGAAACGTTGGATTAAGTCAGTGCGTTATTGTGTTCTCAATGTTTCGTATTTTGAATACATATATCTTTTATTTTCATTTCAAATAAGTAAAAAATATCTGTGTGATACATATAAGCCAAAAACTCAAAGAGAAAATTGCTAAAAAAGCCAACTATAAACCGTACGCGTTTCGTGTTCCCCACGCAAATAGTGATCATGTCTCTGTGATCATGTCGAATCGATATTTTGTCACGTCAACAGCTTCAACTGGATTTAGAACTATTTTTCTCGCGTTTCCTTCGGTGAAAGTTTTTTAAACTTTGCACGTTTGCTAAGCATGACGATTCGCCAAACATCAAAATTTCAAGAAATTCTATAAGACAGATTTTATGTAGTCGTTATTCATGAATATCTCAAAACCGGCCTTATAAACATCCCTTCAAATTTTAATATGTCATTCCCCTTTCAACCATAAATCTTAAAAAAAAAAATTCAGAAAAATTGACCGAAGGAAAAAAAAGATATTGCCGTTTGATTGTAAAATTAGACAATAAAAGTGCAAAAGATGAAACGTCATGGTTGCCATGGCAACACTAACACTGTTCCTATTTGTTCATATATCGACAGCAGAAGACTTCTGAACTTTCCTGGAAATGATTATATTGCCCTGTCTTAAGTGTTTTCAATATAAATTTGGTTCAAAACGAAGGCTACCTAAAATACTTAAAATTTTAGAAAACTGTAGGGAGCCACCTTAAACGAAGCATAAATATATCCGAACGTAGCGCGATATAAAACCGAGTACTAGTATTAATTACGATTCGAAGCGGAAGTAATTTGATAGTTCCTCTTCAGGGAGCAGAAAAACACTTGCGTTTTAATTTTTTCGACGATAACTCATCAATTGTATTGTATTTTGGCAAACTTTAATTCTTCCCCGTGATGTTTACGCCAGTTGGATTCTTTAACAACCCAAGTACACAGCATCGAACTCACGGAAGATATAGACCGAAGCCACTTTCTCAACGTAATCTAGTATCGGCTTTCTTTGGATTGACCACGGTAATTTTCATAGCTACTGCTCTTGTAGAACCGAGATGGTTCGCTGTTCAAGGAAAACCGTGTACAGGGCGTCATATTGGAATCTACAAAATGTTATCTTTGAAATCCAAGAGTCCTCTGAGTAAGTATATCATCTGAAAGATTTCTGATCGGTGTTCTGTTCTTGTCTGTATTTATAATAAAAGCAAGGAATTTTAATAACGTATCTTAATATTTCATGTAAAAAATATATTCACTAATATGCCATTTGTAATATAAACAAATAGTGATCTTTGTACTAAAACGTATATATGATTTTGCAATGTAGTGTTAAGTATACCTGATCACCTAAATTATAGATCAATAAAATTTCCACACAAGGAAAAAATTAATTGCACGTATATAAAATGACTGGTAATACATAAAATCTCATTACCGTCGTTTTCAAGTTGCCATGCAAAACGTCAAACTCCACGGGTGCACATGCAACAAATTGTTGGGGGAGAGGGGTTTCGGGCCGATCTGGGACTGACTTTCTTGTTCACCACAACAGACATTTGTGGCGTTCGGATTAACTAACTCTTTAGCAGAAAATTGAGGCCGACTTTTGATACAGTCTCAAAGAAAACTGGGACCTACTTTTTGCATGTGATTTTCGAACTTTGTCTGGGGGTTTTCAAATCCTGGGGGTTATCATGAATTTCACCAAATTGCAAACTGGATATTTTGAAAACAATCTAGCCGTAAGCTATGCCATGTTTGACATTTTCAAGGTGAGTGGGTGGGTTTAGATGGAAATGTCTGTTTGACATTTCATGTGGCAACTTGAATATGGACGTGGCCCTTTATACCAGGCTTTTCAAAGTATTTCTCTGCAGCTACCTACCTTGTGTCACTTGCATAGTGTTTGATTCAGTGTTCTAGGTACATGTATAACCTGCAACCAGGCCCTCTAAACCCACATGGAAACATGAGACATCTGAGGATGAACAGTCACAGATGAGAACAGATGGCCAATTCACTCCAAATGTTCCTGTACGCCTTGGAAACAAATTCATAAAAATCTTCAATAAAAATAAAATCCCACTGCATTTTTGAAATATTACCAAAAACCTAATGCACTTTTTTGAAGAACATCGAGTGTCAAGAAAATATTATTTTGATTTTGAGAATCGAAGTCCAATTTGATATTTAAGTCCAGCCAATCAGAATCCATACAGTCTGTACACAGGCTATATTCCACTTTGCTTACTCTAAATGCTGGCATGTCTGAACACCTATAAGCAGTGATCAGCAATCATTTAACAAATATAAAAATTTTCCATGTTGATATACAGTTATATCAACACGAGTGGAAATTGGGAAAACGAGAAATTGTGTGGAAACACGACGCCCGAAGGCGTCGTGTTTTCACACAATTTCGAGTTTTCCCAACTTCCACGAGTGTTGATATAACTATATATCAATACGGAAAAAATGTTTTATATTTGTTTTATAATATAGCAATGTCAAAAGCTCGAAGAATAAGAACAATTTCCGTGTTACAAGCGTCGGAAAATTTCCCGTGTTGACATGGAGTTATATCAACACGGCTCTTAGCCAATCAGCGTTCAGAATTTACAAATGCTATATTATAAACTGTATTATCACCACATTGCAACAACCAATGAACCATTATAGCCTGCTCGTTAAGGTGAATTGAGAGCCTGCACTGATGGCATACAATTTTGAACATCTGCGTCTCGAATCGGGACGCGAAATTCTCATTGGTCAGATGCTGTCATTTATATGTTTCTGCTGAGCTCTATATATGTCAACTGCTGAAGCACTATGCATAAAAAACACATTAATTGATCAAATTGGTCTTGGCCATCTTATCTCAAAGCACAAAATGTTCTGTTTTGAGAAAACAGTATTTAAAACATTGAATATCTTATATTTTGAAAGAAACAGTATAAACTGTATGGTCTGCAGGAAAGTTGTAAACAACGCCATATAAGGATAGACATTCCATATTTGGAAAAACTAACATTACGAGGCAGATATTCAAAATTGTATGTCATCAGTGCAGGCTCCCATGTCACCAGTGGCGCCGCCAGCTGGATAATTGGGGGGGGGGGGAATATTCATATCTTAGTGTTCTGCTTTATTGACTTCTTTTGAAATCGATTGTTTTTTATGGTATGTGAACACAAATATATGAATATTCCTAATTATCCAGCTGGCAGCATCACTGCATGTCACCTTGAGGCTACAACCATTATACACATTTATTTCTCACTGTTTTACTATTTGTGACACAGTGATCCAACTTAGGCATAAAAAAAATACCTGTGGTTCCGGTTTCATATCGTGAAAAAATTAGGGTCGGTAGGTCGGAAATATAATTTTTTTTAAATATTTTTTTCATGGTTTTGGCGGTTTTTTGCTGGGCGATTTGCAGTAGAGTCCCGACATCAATATTAACTAGAGATGCGTATTTCCTATGGACAAATTTAGGCAATTTGGTTCAATAATTAGTATGACAACAGACCCCATTTTGGCATGCTGTATGAGCAGCCCGCAACCACCTGGAGAAAATAGGGTCGCACGGTCAATCGCTTTGAAAAATAACAGAGTCAGTCGGGAACCGGAACCACAGGTATTTTTTTTACGCCTTAGATTTTATTGCAATTTTTACAGAAAAACTATGCTACAGTGCTGACACCATCCTCAAGCTCAAGATTATAATGGCGTTTCTGTGTTGTGCACTCTTTTGCAGTTTTACTGCATGTTTACTCGATATTTGGGGACCAAAGAAAAGGATATTCCAATTGATTCGATCAAATTCAATAGGAAATATTGTTTCAGGTTAGCATAACTTAGTCCTGGTCATTTTGCTAAATAATTTTGCAGTTACTGGCTAATAATTTTGCAGTTACTTTTGCAGTTACAAAATGCAAACTGGTCCACACGTTGTTGATACAATAGCCAACAACTATAAATAGCCAACAACCATTGAAAGAGAAGTTTAAACCTGACTGGTATATAAAAGTTATATTAGTTTTTGACACTTTGAATGTTATCTTTTGAGTTTAACCTAATAGTGCGCAAGACTCTCCCCTTGACACATAAAATCATCTGGCATTAGACAGAGTAAAATAGTAAACTTGGGCACATTTGGGTGCATTTCAGCTTAATGGGTTAATCTTCATTTGACAACACTTCTGTTGATAGGGATGGAGCTACCTGAAAAATACAAGGAGAACTTCGACGTTTTGAGAGAACTCGGGAAGCACTTGGCTACTACCTTCCTGAAGAAGGGCCTTCACTCGAAACGTTGAAGTTCTCCTTGTATTTTTCAGACAATTGCATCCCTCTCAACCTAAATGTTGTTGTTACTGGCACTACCTACAGGGTTCGAAATAGCCACCGGCAATTTTAGGACTTTGCCGGCGATTTTTAATTTCAAAGCATAGGGGGTCGGTGAGAGTATTTATTCACCGATGACTCGCTTACAATAACACGTACATATACACAGAAAAACTAGTTTCATATTAATCAGATTAATATGAAACTAGTTTTTCGTATCTCTGAGGATGGTTCTGAAATATACACTGACAGAACTTGTTAATGTTTGTTCCTACACCAAATAAAATGTATTGCTGCGTTCTTACAAATGTTGTGTTGGTTTACATCACTATTATTTGGCCTATGCTCTCTCCAGAACATATCAACTAAACTTTGCTTAGAAAATAGCCGGCAAAAATTTTCACCTACAAAAAACAGCCGACAAAATTTGACATATTTTCAGAACGTTATTTCAAACCCTGACCTACAGTACATTGGCACCGTTCAAGATTATGATCTTCATTTAACTATTAACTATGTTTATTTGCAGTTGTGATGTCAGTTGCTTCCTGTGCATTTTCCTACTGGGTGACAATTTCTATCAAAAAACATTTGCATTCGCAACTCAAGAATCCGCAACATGTTCATGTAACATTCTCGTACAGTTTTTACTTAGTTGTTGCTGGAGGTGTGTGTGCTTTGCTAGCTTGTGCTTTTAACATGATAAACTGTACCTGCCGAAGAAACCGAAGCAACTTCTCAAGCGAGGAAGAATTGACGGCAGAATTAATGAACTCGATGGAAGCAGCAGCGCCATCCTCAATCAGAGGTGAACCACCACCTGTATACTCTGTGTAAGCAGCACTAAAGTGCTCTTACTAGTAGTTCTGAGATACAGTTGTCCGCCCAATTCATGTAGTTTTGTACACAATAATATGTTTTTTTGACAGATTGTGTACATATAAACACAATTAAAGCAATTAATCTGCACTAAACAAGTAATGAAACACTTTATACCAACAAAACAGTATTTTAATTAAAAGATCATTGAATTGATGCAAACTGAAATCAAGAATTCATGATTGAAAACTGTTTGGTCAGTGTCACGCTCATTTAGTGAGTGAGAGGCTGTATTCAAATCACATTTGTAATGTTCTGTAATCATTATGTTAGCCTAAAACCAACAATAATGCAAGCATGGTAAAACAAGGTACCATAGTTTTAGCATGGGTTTAGCTATTGACATTATGCTAATATTGTTATATAAACTGTAAAATATGAATACATATAAGCATATAGACATCATAGAATAGTTTGTGATTTTATAGAGCAAGTAAATTATTGAGACTGTATCAATGTTAATTAATAATTTTTAATCAAATTTTGACTGAAGTGCTTGTTGCATATTCAGGGTGGGGTCTGGAGCAAACTAGAGATGCACCATCATCAATCTCGAACCCTGAGCCTGCAATCGCCTCCACAGAGGATTGCAGGCTCAGGGTTCGAGATTGCACTATCACATGGTCAGTTGACAATCAATATCTAGGTTCTTGTTTTTCTGATTGGTCATGGGCAATGTTATTCTCATGCAAATAGTCATGATCATGTTCAATGTTTTTTGTGTTACATTATACAACTGCTACAACAAGCATTTGCTGTGCTATATCCAAAATTTTAATAAATCCTTAATCCCTCTTTTGGGATCAATCAAATTTAGACTTGAAGTATGCAGTTAAAAAAGTTTATTATCCACTCATTTGTCGGAATAACTTATTTTACATCTTCTGAAACTATCACCAAGCCCCCTCCTTACATCCATGATATATCAGTCAGCCCCGGAGTTTACATACGTTGGCCATGCATATGTGTCTTATTCACTGCGTTTAAGGGTCCTCTCGTATCCAATATAAACCGCTTCCCCTGAAACACTGAATAATTCACAGTATTGCAACCTTTTAGCGGTCATGCAGCACTCATTTCCAACCACCAAACTGACATAACGTCTGTAACTAACCAAAACCCTAACCCCACCCTACCTAAGTTAATCAAGAAAATGCAAAAAGGTCGACTTGAAAAATTAAGAAAATGACTTGACGTCAGTTTGATGGTTGAAAACGAGGGAACCATAATAAGACGCGTATACCCTTGCACAAAGCCATCCAAACCCCGAAAATTCAACTACGTTATGACGTCATAATGACGTCAATGGATGCTTCTCGAATGATTTACGTGCTTTCACGGGAACATTCCGATAACAGGCAAAATGGTGAGGAAAGTCTCGGTTGGACGCACTGGTTGGACGGGAAACTGCAGTGGCGGAAATTCACTTTTTCCGGGGGGGCAAAGCCTCCTAAATTTCTGACAAAACTTTCAAATTTCCGACAAACCCCCCCATTTGCATTCGAAAAGACTGTTTTTAGCCCTCTTTTAGGGCTAAAACTCGAAGAGACTGTTTTTAGCCCTCTTCCGAAAATTCGTCAATTTTCCGTGAAGGGGGGATGAACGCCCCCCACCCCACCAAGATTTCCGCCACTGCCGGGAAAGGTTAGTTCGCTGATGACATTTCGTCAAAACTTTCTTAAAGATTGGTTTAGAAACAAACTTTGAGTAGGGTTAGGTTAGTGTTAGTAAAACCGTTGCAGTACGTTTTGTCCGGCTCTGAGGCCAGCGAAACCTCTTCCCGGTTGGACTACCCCACTTGTATACTCTGTGTAAGGCTGTATAAAGCAGCACTAAAGTGCTCTAGTAGTTCTTGAATACAATTGTTTGCCTAATTCATGTAGTTTTGTACACAATTAATATGTTTTTGACAGACTGTAATACTGTATGCGTGTACTGCAATAATAAAGCAATTAATTTGCAGTACCAACAAAACAGTATTTTAAAAGATCATTGAATTGATCATTTGATGTGCACTGAAATCAATATTTGGAAAACTGAGAATTCATGAATCATGATTGAAAACTGGTTGGTCAATGTCAAACTCATTTAGTGCCGGTCTTTAGTGAGTGAGAGGCTGTATGCAAATTACATTTGTAATGTTCTGTAATCCAAAAAGAAAATCCAAAAAGGATCAACTTGAGAAAATGACGAGTGACGTCAGTTTGATGGTTGAAAACGCATATACCCACTGATAAAACGCATATAACCTTGTACAAAACCATCTCCAACCTGAAATAATTGCCGGGTGAACTACGTTATGACGTCATAATTGACGTCAAATGGGTGCTTCCCGAACGATTTACGTGCTTTCACGGCAACGTTCCGATAACTGGAAAATGATGACATGGAAGACTGAAAGTTTTGGCAGTCAGAATCGGTTTATTTCAAACCAAGTTTCGGACAGAAAGTGTTTTATTTGATGCTCTTTTTTGCGACTTATAACTCTGTGTTGTGTATTCTATAAACGTTGGCCCTTTAACCCGTTTGACAAAGTTGCAATAAATTTTTTTCGCCGTCTTTATTAATAAACGCGCCATGAATAGCCAGAATGAAAGCACCGAAATAGTAGATTTAAATCAAAGTCAAGCCAGTCAAAATGTCGTTGGAAACGGAAATCGAAAAACTAGAACAACGAAGGCACATTCAAGGGCAAAAGTAAGTATTCATCCTTTCTTTTAGGGCACAAATAGAGCACATATCAAAAGAATTATTTCATTAATATTTTAAATACATATTTAATATTTTTTAAATCTTTATGTACTATATTAAAGTTTATACATAGTATTACATACTGTAAAAAAAAAATAAACGGTAACTTTTTGTGAGATTGGTGACTATTGATATGTGAATATAAGTTTTTAATTAAAAGCATTTCATGTAATTTGTTTCAAAGGTCCACAAGACTATATTAAATAGGTTTTGCAGGATGAGGCCTCATACAGGAGGATAACATTCATTTTGGTTACAGGAAACCAGATTTTGTGGTCATGTGCGAGGCTAGTGCCAGTAGGGATGTAGTGAAGACTTTGTCGTTGGGCTTAATAGGGGCTTATGTATCATATGATCCCACTTACCAAGACATCTTGCCTAGCGAGATGAATATTTCTGTGCGTTCATATGGAGTGTTTCATCCCGCTTGCCGAGATGAAATTACAAAATAGCTGTAGTTCTATAGTTAGCACATGCAAAACTTCTACATTCCAGTCAAGGAACACAAATATTTAGCGATTTTAGTGTTTTTCATAATTTATTTACGGGAAAAAGTATTGCTTTAGCAGCACATTTAATACTTGTTCACAAAACAAACATAAAACTAAAGTAAAAAGTGTTAAATTAAACGGCAAGACTTGTTTGACTTCATCCTGGTAAGCAGGCTGGCGTGTTGATATGGAAAATTTTTCATCCCGCCTACCTATTATCTCAGCAAATTCAAGCGAGATCTTGGCAAGCGGGCCAGTTTACTTTCCCATATGAACACAATGCAAAATCGGTTGCAAATCCCATTTCCAACACTTGATTAGTTTTGCCTCGCAAAACTTTGACTTAAAGATTTTGTGAACATTCATAGTAATAAACATATTTGAGTCAACTTTTTTAGAATTTTAGATCAGGATTTTGCAACAAAACTTCAGAATATTACTAATTTTGTGATGCTCTTTCAAGCTGTGATCAAATTTTGTTTATTAGGCAATAGGTCCATTTAATGTTCAGGTTATTAACCCAGGCATTAAGTATCATTGCACCATAATGTGTAATTTACTATTTTACTCTGTCTAACACCAGATGATTTTACAAGGAGAGAGGGCTGGCACTCATTAGGTTAATTTAAATATTTTGCATTGTAGCGAGTTAATATTAGCAGAAAACGCAACAGAGAGGGACAATTGGCAAATGTAGGAACATCTGAACTGGCTTCGCATAATGGTAGCATTGAAGTTATAGATGTTGAGCAAGTAGTGAAAGGTACAATACAATGTTGCTGATCAACTTAATAATACATATTGTGTAGAATTTCTGTTATAAAAGCTAGAAATGTTTCCCTTGACATTTCTGTGGCAAGGAGGAATTTACAATTTTCAGAATTAACCAGCGATTGTCGACACTATAGATGGCGAAAATTCCTGGGTGCTAGATTCTATTGGGAACCCTGATGAACAGTAGATTTATTAACTTACAATGTTTTAGATAAGCCTGTTGTTGATCTCACTGACGAATCAAGAAATGATGTTTATGTAGACTTGACGAGTTCACCTGATGTGGTAAGCATTATGAGAGTATTAATCTCTTTATTCCCTAACAAAGAGTTTGTAATTTTGGCTGTAATAAGGTTTACTTAAGTTTGTAAATATTTGTGTTAGGCCACATAAAAAAAAATGGTTGGTTAGCGTCCTCGCCCGCCCACAAAAAAGGCCCTGCTCAGGATTTTTTATTTAAAAAAACAATCTTTTATTGATCAATGGGCTCTAATATATGTAGTATTTCTGTTGACTGTAGTCAATTTAGCCTGCGAATTGCGTGCGAAAATGACGGTATGAATCATATTTTGAAATACCGGTATATAAAAAATATCTGTATAGCGCAAGAAAATCCAGTTTCGGACCTAAAACCAGGGCGTTAAAAATTAGTAAAAATTTTAAAAAAAGCGCCCGCCCACCCACTTTTTGGCAAAAACTAAGGACGCTAACCAACTATTTTTTTTATGTGGCCTTAGTTACAGTACATATTTATTTTTCATATTGCAGCAGCTGCCTCATCGACAGTCTGTTATTCGTTGGCAGTTATCACCAGGAAGAACAAACACATCTGAGTTGAATAAAAATGCAGATGATATAGTTATTGTTGCAAATGGATCTGAAAGGTAAATTAGATTAACTGATAAAAAAACATATATACCGTAATTTAGATTTCACATATTTATATTATTAATGTAATATAATGTAATATATATCCAGTCATGTCATTTCTATACAGTTTATATTTTAATTTCTTTGTGTATTTTTTGACAGAGTTGTGAATGTAAGCTCTGAACTAAGTCAACCATTGATTGAAAATATAATGACTTGTGCTATATGTATGGATGATTTTAATCAGGTAAAGTTATTTTTCAAATAAATTTAGAGCAGCTTCATTCTTTGCAATTTATAATATATTTATTACACAAGTAGAAACATGTACTAACAAAGTTATGATTCTTTTATTTAGATTAAGAAAGCAAAACGTCAGTTAACTTCAACAACATGTGGTCATGTGTTTTGTAATCCTTGCATAACTAGTTCATTACACGCCCAAGCCAAGTGTCCAACGTGTCGAAAAAGACTCACTAAGAAATCACTCCATCCAATATTTTTGTAAAATTGTTCATAAATCCAGTTAAAGTTTGTTGCTATGCAAAATGAAGCTATAGGACAGAATAACTTTCATATAAAGGCAAAAAATAATCTAATTCGAATTGTTTATATTAAGATTTTGTGTACATAGTTTTTGCTTGTTGGCGAATGATGATCTACAGTATAAATAAATGTAATCCTGTTTCCTTATCGTATCATTGCTTACAACACAAAATTTAAAAGATTTTCTGGGAAAACATTTTCTGGGTGAGCATGCCCCCAGACCCTGCCCCTTGAAAGCTCATGCCCCAGTGCTCGTTCAATAAAATCTCCAGACAGCCTGTCACTGAAACTTGCATCTCTACCTGGAGCAAATTCTCCTGGTGTTAGAGTAAAATAACAAACTAGGTTACAAAAATGTGTATTGTCACTGACATGATGGGTTAAGACATAATTTACTGATGTAGTGATGTATGTTTCAATAACAAATTTTATGATTGCAAATATGAACAATATTTTGAACAAAATATAATGTTTTATGTACTATTTAAATGACTAGCTGGGTAGATAATTTTCTGTTCAGCTGGAGATTTTGTCTGCCCAGCTGGAGATTGAATCCCAAGGCTGGAACACAGAATAGGCAGATTCTTGAGTCGTAAGCTGGAGACCAGTTGTTCTGGGTACGAGATTGGGCCATTCCATTTAATATAGGCACCCCCCTCCCCCCTATTGAGGGGTCTGGATATCTTATGGGGGGGGGAGTTACCTTAAATCTTCCTAGAGGGTAGCTTAATTAAGAAATTTTTTAAAAAATAGCAAAAATTATAGGTGTCTTAGTGATATCCAAGGGGGCAAAAATGATATCCTAAAGGGGGTATATAAAAGATATCCATGAGTAACTTCCAAAAATTAAATCCAAGGGGGTTCTAAAATTTTTATATCGTAAGGGGATTATGACCATTGACGGGACACCTCGATAGGGAGGGGGGGGGGTTCCTATATTAAATGGAATAGCCCATTGTCTGGAGACTTGTCATCGATGCCAAAGAAAATTGTTGGGCATTAATACCACATTATAATATATATGTCTCTTGTCGAACCGTTGAATCTGCAATGGTCCCTTATGCTAATGCACCCTAGCCTCCGCTGCAGGCTGCAGCCAACTCCGTGGAAATTACAAGGGGCGAAATTTATGCAATATTTAGCGGAGTGAGGGGGTGTGCCATGATTTCTCTATATTGGTATATTGCATAATTATGCCTTTGGCCACCAAGTTGCTTAATATATTATATATGCCATTGATCTATGTACCCCACTGAACTATATAACTGTATATAGTTCGCTGATGTACACAAGCTTCAGCAATCGCCGACATTTTTTGCGAGTGCCAAGCCGGCGCTAAATATGCGAATCGGATGGCCTGTCATGGCAGCCAGATTATAAAATATCAGGTTCGGGACAATACGTGAATATTTTTGCATTTCTTCAGTACACACTTCTCATATTACACCCACGTTTGTTTAAACAAAATATTTACGAATATAACATGTACGGTCGAGGAAGGGGCAGTTATCTTGGACTTTTGTTAGAATCCCAAATTGGCAAGAGTGCGACTGCCAGTACTATAAACTCTGGGAAGGGTAAAACGCTCAGTGGTAAAACGTCAGACAATGTGCTTAACGTAGAAAATAGTTTATCTTCTCCAAGGCAAATTGTGTCCTCGACGTCGACTATTTCGTCTCATCCACAAGGTATTTAATATTAAATGTGCCGTAAGTTAATAGTATAAGTATGTATGTGTGTCTTTTTTGCCACTATGTTTGAGGAGTTTAGAACGACTATTTAATTTTAAAGTTGTATCTATTCTTGTTTTTAATAGCCTCAAGGTTTTACAATTAAAACATCAAAAACTTGACTGAAATAAACTTGATAAATCTTACATTATAAAGTCAAACCACATGTTTCATAGTGTGAACTGCCTGGGGCAGACTCTATAAATATAGAGAATAATTTATAGCTTAAAAAGTTGTGTTTTAGGGGTCACTCACAGCAAAGCCTGGGCACAAAATAAAGACACAGAGAAGGTCGACTCGAGTAACCGCTGCCACGCCATGATTTATCATCGAAATGCTGACGCCATGGTCCGAGCCAGTGCGTGTTTGAGAGGCATTTTACCCTGGACGTCTGCCATTTTGAATATTATCAGGGGGGTGAATGCCTCTCAAACACACACTGGCTAGGCCCATGGTGTCAGCATTTTGATGACGAATTACGGTTGCGCCAAAATCATAGGAAAAACCCAAGAATCACTTTAATCTACCTGTCGAAGACTGCAGACTGGCAGTCGAAAGCTCATCCAAATAAATATTTTTAACCAGTGAACATTTGAAACTCTTAATATGAATCCTAGTTTTGCATCTAACATCTTTAAAAACCAAGAAGTCGGGCATCTGTGTTGTCTATTTGGGACTTTGGTGGCATAGTTACCAGTCAATTCTTGCTATGAACTAATGTGAAAAGAGTCGGTCTTGAAACCAAAAGTCGTGGATTTTCTCTGGGTGTTCCGGTTTCCTCCCCCAGGTGTGGGTTAGGATAAATACAGTGAAAAAAGTAATATCACAATTGCTATAAAGATAAAATAGCCTAGGGCTACTTCCCTCCACAGGCTGTAATACTAAGTATGTAATTAGGTCAACCTGATAATTAAAGATGATGTCCACTCCGTTCTGCGTATCAGTCCTGCTCATAACAAAGGGGGACCCCTAGCTATAAACATTGCCCAAATTTTGCATCTTTCGAATTTCACAACACAAGAAAAACTATGCATTCGCCATCTTTAACCAGTTTATAGTGTCCCTTGGTGCCCCTGCTTTAACACATTTCGTCTCAACTACATTTATTGAGTACAGGTGTCAGCCCTCCGGTAGGGGGTGCAGCCACCCCAACTGTTCAGCTAAACTCAATCTTCTCTGGAAAAACGGACCCAAGAGAAAATCCTGAAAAAAACCCTGGCATGTGCACAGGAGTGGACATCTTTAATAGGTTTCGCTGCAGCGAGATTCAAGGGGTAGCGGAAGTGAAAATCCTGAGTATCAGGTTGGTAATTAGGTAACCATAATACTTGATGTAAAGCGCATTTGATCATATCCACATTTAAATTTGAGCTACCTGTAATTCTGTATAGAAATGTTAATTGTAATCATAAAAAAAAATTGTTTGGTTCCATTCTGGTTTCCAGTGGAGAGGCAGTAAAGTTTACCGAAGTGTTTCTCAAGAATCTGACCAAAGTAAGAATATTTATATTATGTTATTCAATGGTGTAGATAATGACAAGAAAAGCCCTCAGCCAACTTGGACCTCCCTTGACCTTCTTGGGAACAGGGGGAAACGGAATCTGCGTGGAAGTGATTCCTCACCAAAACTAACTCAAGAAAATTCTCAAGCTAGTGAAGAAGATCAAACAAGGTTGTAAAAAAGTGATTGAATTAAATTAAATTTATTTGAATTAATGTAATTTTAAAAGACTGCAAATTAGCATGTTTACCATATGGACTGTAACTCAAATGACCTATTCCAATTTAAACCCATTCAGCATGAGCACTCTCCTCTTGACAAGTAAAATTGTTTGGTGTTAGACAGAGTAAAATAATGAATGGCTGTGCTAATTCCAAAAGGATTCCCTGGTTCCTCTGAAACATGCTGTGGGTCAAAATTGGAATACTGCCCAATTTTGATAATAATTAAGAATGTGTTATAAACCATCAAGTGGCAGCATTCTGCCCTTGACAGGTACAGTTGTCTGGCATTAACGATAAAGTAGGGCATGCATTAGGCTGCAATGCAACTTAATGGGTTAACCATAGATTGATTTGTATGTGGTAAATTATTGACCCATTCGATTGTGTGGCAGCACTCTCCTAAAGTAGGGCACGTCAGGGTGCATTGCTACTTAATTAAAGGGTTAATTTATTTTCTTGATTTTTCTAAAATCGTACAATGTTTTTTTCCCATGCTTAGGAACTTAAAGACTGATCCAGTAAAGAAAGTTCACCTAATCTCTCCTGAAGAGTTCTTACTTTCACCTCAGGCAAACAACAGAGTAACGGACGAACCGCAGGAAATCTCTGAAATAGGTGTGATATATAGCAAAGCCTTAGAACCCTTAGATTTACCTGAAAATTAGACACATCCATTGTCATCAGGGGGGTACCCAAATGACCTCTTATAGGCCTGATTGGGTTGGAATTGCAATAGAGACTAACATCACCATGTTAATTCCAGTTTCGTGCCTAAAAGCTTGTACATACAGTACCAGCCCAGATCTTAGTCATTTAGAGGGAGGTAAATTTCCCAGAGAAAGATATTTTCCAAATAGGCCTAAATTTTTTTCCAAATAGGCCTAAACATCTTAGGGCAACATTTTTATGCTGTGTCAAGAGAGGGAACTAAAGCCAGCTTTATATTAGTATTTAATGGCATTTAATTCAACATAGAAAATTAGTACTGTGCTAGATGCAAAAAGAGCTACACCTGTTTTGGCAAAGAAAGTTAGTGGTAACCATTGGCTTGGCATAAAGCCATTCCCCAAATGTATTACAGTATGAGCTTTTAGTAAATAGTAAGGATTTGTTCCATGCATGGCTGGGTCACAATCTTGAAATGTCTGCAAGGTCTCAGATCTGTTCCTACATAAAGGCGGTTTTCCACTAGGCGAAATTTTTCGATCAAACCGAAATTTCTATTGTTCAAATTCAAAAGATTTCTGTTTAGTTCCATTTGTACCAATTTGAATTTGTTATTGCCCCAATTTCATTATTGGAATTTTAAATTTTATGTTAAAGGTACTTCCTCAGAGAACAGTGAAAGCAATACTAGCTCGACTTCTCGATACATCCCTCCACATCTACGCAAGGGATTTTCCGGCAAGCCAGATATCTGTCCGGATCCTGCAATTGCAAAATACAAGAAACTAGATGCACCCACATATACTTTGACGGGAACAGCAGAATGTCATGCCCCTCAAACAATGGTTGAATCTGAATTGAACTGGCATAAATGGAAACTACAACGATGTTTTAAGAAATTAATAAATAACTTGTCAGTTGAAAATGTTGTGGGGTTGAGTGTGGAAATCAGGAAGATTTGTGAAGCAAGTCAGTTATCCACAAAGTTCCCTGGTACATCTGAGGTTAATGTCTTGGTCGATCTGTTGGTTGCACGTGTTATTGAGCAGAAAGATAGTTTTGAGGTTGCAGTACAAATGTGTCAGTTACTAAATGGTAAGTAAAGCATTGACTGACTGACACACCAATCAACTGACAGTTGACTAATTGATTGACCAATCAACTGACAGTTGACCATCTAACTGACCAATCAACTGACAGTTGACCAACTGGCTGACCAATCAACTGACAGTTGACCATCTGACTAACCAATCAACTGACAGTTGACCATCTGACTGACCAATCTAAGGATCAACAGATAAACAGACTGATGCAAAGCAGGAAATTGTGCTATTGAACACAATGCACCTTTTACCTTTATATAGTAATATACAAAGATGAATTTCCTGCAAATTTAAAAGATATTTTAAGACAGTATAGACAAGAAACTTTCAGTGTAAGTTGTTTTGCCTGTCATTTTGAACAAAATGAGTCGCCATGGTAATAACAGTTGTTGTTAACCACTTTTAGGGTGTTGCAAACAAAAATTCTATGTGTGAAAACTTTTGTATATTTCTTGGAAAGCTTTGTGATATTGCTAAAGACGAAACAAAAAGGTAGTTTTGAATAGTCCTATCTTCATATTTCTCAATCCCCTCAAATTATGTCTTAATATAAGCCCCGTGCAGATGAGCAAGGTTTCTTTGACAAGTTTACCTTCTCGTGTGTACGGTCAACAAGTTTCCCTTGACAAATTTCGTTGCTGTGTACTCGGAATGTTGTTAAACATCTATCTCATATGTGATGTGAAGACCGTCTTTTGTTTGCCAAATCCGTAGAAATATTCCTTGTACACTTGTCGAGTTTTCCTTGACGGCCGTACAGGAAAACGGATTTTCCTCATCCAAAAGCTGGCATGATTAGCTTTGGAATAATGCCCTGGGCAAAATAGGAAACATTGTTGCGGAAACATTGTTTCCTACCAATGGCAATGTTTCGCCATGTTTCTCAGAGTGGGCAAACACTAGGAAACATTAGTGAGAAACATAGGGAAACATCAAATGTTTCTGAAGTTGGTAGGAAACATTTTTGCTTCCCGGGAAGCAAATTTTGTTTCCGCAACAATGTTTCCGCCGGTGGGCAAACATGGAAACATTTGAGGAAACATCGAGAATCACAAATGTTTCCGCAACAATGTTTCCTAGTTTTCCCAGCCCAGGGCTTAAGGCTCTTTGGCAAAAATTGTCAATTTTTTGCCATACACACGTCGAACAAATAAAATAAAAGTTTTCAAGAAAAACTTGCTCGTCTGTAATAAATGGATGTTTACTTTCTATTGTTTGGTGCAAGAATAAAGTGGATAAATCAATGAGTCAATCGACATCTGTATTATACACGAACAAAGGGCAGCAAACGCCAAATCACGAGCATTGTTTTTTTTTTTGCATTGAAGTTTTCAAGATTGCTTGAGACAAAGTGTTGTGGGATGCCTCCACGATTGGATTTCATCATTTCAGGTCAGGAGCGAAGACGTTCTTTGCATTAGGGTTTGTTAATAAAGAAGGTGGTGAAAATTGTGCGTTGGGGTTGAAGAATAGTCGAGTGTCGCTCGCAGGACTGAAAGTTAAACAATTGTTAAGCCCAGGGCAAACTAGGAAACATTGTTGCGGAAACATTTGTGATTCTCGATGTTTCCTCAAATGTTTCCATGTTTGCCCACCCGTGGAAACATTGTTGCGGAAACAAAATTTGCTTCCTGGAAAGCAAAATGTTTCCTAGCAAATTCAGAAACATTTGATGTTTCCCTATGTTTCTCACCAATGTTTCCTAGTGTTTGCCCACTCTGGGAAACATGGCGAAACATTGGTAGGAAACAATGTTTCCGCAACAACGTTTCCTAGTTTGCCCTGGGCTCTAGGTTGAACATTTGCAACTTAAAATTTGAACATGAATGTTCCACTATGTCTATGGACCAAACGCATGCATGTCCCAATATGTCTATGGACCAAACAACGTATGGTCGACAGACATCATTTCTTGAATTTAAAATCATGCCATGGTCAACTAGGCCTCTGTGTTTAGGCCGGAACAGATTTAGCACAAAAATACTCAGTTGGTCTACAGAATATTTTTATCTCCAGGTTGTGCTCCCAGGAAGAAAGTTTTTTTTAGTTGATAACTGTGACTATTGTAACTGTGACTCGTGATTTTCTGGCATTTTTTGTCGTTAGACTGCAGATGAATGTTCTCAGGAGGCAGAGGTTAAGGTGTCATACTTGTGTTACTTACTAGAAGTCACCAAAAGCGTATTGACCACGGAAAAAGGGCAAGTACATATGCAATTTACCATATTTTAAACTGGATAAATTTAATGGTTATCATCAACGTCTAAACTTGGTTTTCTATAGAACTTGGGTAAAATCGTGTTTTGGCAAAATTAAGAACTGCATTTTGAATGAAAAGGTGGCAGGGTAGGATGATTCATCTATTTGCAATTCCTGAAATGGTAATTATTAAATTATTGAAGAAAGTATTGTTTCTCTCAATCAATAGGTCTGTCAAAGAGAATCTATTGGATCATGTCATCAAGTGTTCCTTACAGTCTCCGACGACGAAAGAAAATGAAATTCTGAAAGCAAATGCTGAATCTGCTCCTTCAACTAAAACTGCCTCAGATTCTCATTTGTCAGGTTTGTCTTGGTTAGCATACGACTAAAGCATACGACAGGATGGCCTGTTGAGCTTCATGTATATCTGGAGTGAGAACTCAAGTCCAAAAAATGAAACCCATTCTCGTACCCAGAGCCCTTCTTACGCGCGGTGCGACGAGGGGCTCTGGCCAAATCCATAACCGGATACCATAAAAACATGGTAAGAAAACAATATCCGGTGTTAGAACTAGCCAATCAGATGCCAGTTCGGAATATGGATTTGGCCAGAGCCCCTCGGAGCTATTAGACGTCAGTTCCAGTCCCTTTTCTATTGTTTTTGTCTGCGCGGTTAACACGAAACTGCAAAGAGTGTGCCGAAATTTCGTATTTTTACTTCGATTTAAAGAATATTACTATGGTTTTATGAACTGATAACTTGGTTAGCGATACGGTACGTTAGAAGAAACTGCAGTTAGCTGGGAAAAATGGTATAAAAACTGTGAAGTTCTTGTTCCATATATATATATAGAGGTCACCGGGCCTGACTACCCTGGTCATCTGGAGAGAGTAGTGTGATATAAGCTAAAAATAATTCGAAGAACAAAGTATGTCTGGCGGTGTGTTTTCGGTCCGAGGTTTCGTCTGTTTGCATGTATATAGAGTTAAATTTTCTTATTTTTTTCGTAGATGACGCATATAAAAACGTTAAGAGAATGTTATCAGATCTAGAATTGAGCCATTTGTTGGAGAAATTCCAGGACAATTTAATCCGGGTAGGAAATTTTTGGTGTTTAGTATGAGTTAATGAGAATCGTGATAGTTTATTTGTAGTAATTGTGGTTTCTTGTTTTCCAGGATACTCTTCTTTGTGCTGAGAAGAATGAGCTGAAGAATACACTTCAGGTTGAGAAGTGAAATTTGTATAATATACGGAAATTACACTGTATTAACAATCTCAATTTAGATACAACCCTAATCTCAACCTGCATGCCTGCAGATTTTATGTGTTAAGGCAGTACCTTCAGGCTTAGATAGCTAGCTCCACGGCTTCTATATCATTCTTCCAGTTCGCCAGTAACTTCAGGGTTCTCAATTCGAGTTTTGAAGAGCACATTCTACGGCCATGTTTCTCAATTCTAATCCTAATCTTATATATTGTGAAATAACGATTTTTCGTTTTAAAATAGGAAGCAGGTTTTGCTCCAGGTGCGATCCTTGAAATCCAATTATATCTTGAGAAAAATGGTATGTAAACTTTGTTATCTTCTTCGTGATCTTTAACTTTAATGTATGTATACAGCAGGCCTATATAGAAAATATATTTCTCTTCCCAAAATAAAAATTTCCTGTGCAGGAAAAATATAAAACTTCCTGCATATGTACACCTTCGGAGAACGAATGGTGTCTCAGTGTGATGATAAATTCCAATCTCGGCACAAGACAATCTCTCGACTTGCAAAAAAAAAGTTTAAAATTTCCTGAATTCCTGGCAGCGGTGTTGATGGTGCTGGCGGTCATTTTCCAGTACCAATGTACACTATGATGTTGTTTTGACAACATGCATGGGGTTCATTGTACGAAATCTGAAAAAATTATATCTAGCTGATAGCGCTAGCTGCCTTTACCCAACACTAGTACAGCCCCAGAGCTTTCCTTATGTATTCTGCTGTGAAACAATTAACAATTATGATTTTTCTGTAATCATAATTAACAATTATTCGCCGAAGGCGAGGTGATTATTGGGGAATATTCGCCGAGACGAAGTCGAGGTGAATATTCCCCGATAATCACCAAGCCTGAGGCGAATAATTGTTTTAGTATTTTTGTGTTTTTTTTAGGACTGAATTTATTTTAATTTCGCTTATTTCTTTATCAGTATAACGTCCTCAAAACGGCCAGCCGCCATTTCGAAAATTTCGGTTTTAATATACGCTTAATACGTCAAATTTGACCAATCAACTTGTAGGATTTGTTATGTTCACTTGTGCAAAAATACTAATACTGCATATTCCCATAGTTAATATATGATATTCCCAATATAATTTTCTTCTCTACCCATTTTAGGCGACAACTTCCATGACAATGTTCCTGAAAAAATGCAAGAGACTAAGCCTGGTCGTGTCATTGACCCTCAAACACGAGTAAGAAACCTTGAAAACAATCTTAAAGAAATACTTTCGACTATTGAATCTGAAAAAAAAGAACAGGCAGAAGTGCAAAATGAGGCTGAAAAACAGAAAGAATCTGACACTGAAGTTGAAAATGTTGAGCCATTAGATTTGAAAGAACTGCAAGATAATCTCATGACTAATTATCAGAATAGTTTAGAGCAAAGAGCCATCCCCCAATCGACTTGCCGGCCTCCGCCCGGATTTTCACACCAAGGGGAAGAAAACCGTACACCACCTTCATCGGAAGAAATACAGGCCATTAATACCGAATTACGTGTTGCTAACCATTTCCCTGATTTAACGACAACGAGAGAAGTTTCGCTTGCAGGAGAGAGGAAAAATAATATAATGGAATTCAAGGATGAAAATACACAAGCTGGAAATCCGGTTGTGAACTTGACACAAAATGGCGGGAAGAGAAATTATAATGAGCGCTCATTTCCGAAATATAAAGGCAGAGGACGGGGTCGTAGGGATGTTAGTGGAACCTTGGAAAGTTCGAAGGATAACAGTGAATCTCTAGTGTTCTCAGGTGATGCACGTGGATCACGGTGGAACTCAAGGGATATGAAAGGATTCCAACATATGACGGTTAGAGATAATACTGGATATGTGGAGTGGAATAAGAATGATTCTCCAGAAACTTCAAGGAAGGGTTATAGTAGACCGCAAAGTGGGTGGAAAGATGTGAAAGGATTTTATGATAGACCGTTCGGATATGCAGAGGAAAGCATTGCACTCACCATGGATTCACACACGACAGAACCTCGCGGTGAGTTCGGCTCATCTTTGTCAGCCGACGCCGGCCTCGGTACATCTCGTGCCGAATTCGGCTCATCTGTCCATGTTGGATGCTTCATTTGTGGCGGTAAAGACCATCGCTCAGCGTACTGTAAAAATAATGCTGCCATGTTTGATTAAGACTATACACTCCATGGTGTTTGACTCGTTGTGGTGATATTGTGATAAAACTCGACATTCAGTTTGTTTTGTTATTGTTGTGTTCTGGGTATATTTTCACATGTCGTCTTCGTATCATTCCATAAGATTCCTACGGTATATTTGTCAAGATGTGAAAATTGTATTATATAGATTATGGTCACTTTAACAGGGTCTGTACGTATGAGTCTGTTTCACTTTAATAGGGTCTGTACATGATATGGTCTGTTTCCCGGTCAGCTGGGCAGCTGACCGGGAAACTCACGTGAGAAGATCTACATGCCCTTTCTTAACGCATATAAAATTCAATTTGCATTCATATGAGAAACGAGCCATGCCCGGCTAGGTGTGATTTCACCTTGCGCTAAGTGGGATCTCAGTCAAAATGGGATAACATTTTCCATATGAAGGCTTCATCCCACCTGACCGCGATGGATCTTTTTGCCCATTTTTTCCACATATAATATTATATTGAACGGCATAGTTGGAAAACAAAACATAAACAGTCATAATACAAGGTGTAATTTCTTGGACTCATATGAACAGACCATTTAATGCTTGTATCTAAATTTTATAGTAGTCGTATCTGATATTTATTCTTCGTAAACTGCAGTTATCTTATGATCGTCTGAGATCTACCTACACTGGCACAGATCGTATCTGATAAAACCAATCCAGTTTTGTCGGGTGTCCGGATTTTATGCCCACGCAGTTAGCACCAGCTGGAATTAAACAAAGTATTCAGACTTAAATCCGGTCTAGTCCTCGTTTTCGGTCCATTGTTCCTGACAAAAGGCCATAGAAGCGTTCCGTTCATGCGATTTGTGCGCGTTATCACAATAAATAGCATGTGTCCTATAAAAAAATAAATAGCATTTATCCTATACAAACAAGAAATTTGTTTTGTTTTCGCATCTCGTTGTTTTCTCAACGATTGAAATTATCATCGATTAAATTTTTGGAAGGTTGCAGGAAAAATGTTCCGCCCCCTTTCCAGATGATTTCTATTAATATTGGAAAAAATGCTACATCAGGTAAAACAATTCTTTGTTATATGAGCCCGTCTGGTCCCTTTACAAAACTGTTTGCATGAAAACTAGCCCAGCCCGGCCGTTTAGCTGGGACTCATTTGAGTCAACCGGGCTGAAATTTGTCCATGTAAACTCGCCAGCCCGGGTGACCATGCAAAAAACCACGATTTATCGGAATGGATATTTTTCTTGCACTTGTATTGGAGCAGTGGTTGAATTTAAAAATAGTTTAATTGAATAAAAAAATTGTCCCAAAAAGCATGAATTTGGCTTTCGTGACAAACCTTGCACTATTAACTCGTACTCAAGTTTTCCCGGCCAGACGGGCTCATATAAACAGCCAATTTAGGCTTGTTGGTGGAGGTTGGTTTGTATCACTTAATTAAATTTGTTTTATTTGAGGGCTCTTCGATTCTGTGGTAAGTGGCATTTATTGAATGGGCAGGAAACTCGGGCTTATGCCTCGTTTTCAAACCAAGCGCGAGACTACCCTACCCTCGCTGAGTGGGAATAAACCGACTCTCCTACCCCTGGTAGGGAGAAATGCAATTATGCGGCATGATCATTTATGTGGAAAAATATATTGTCTTCCAATCTGATTAAAACCAACATTGGATAATATTTCATAGATTTGTGCTTTTTGATGCCTTCTACATCTTCTAGAAATCAGATCGGGAAAGAAAAATGAATTTCAGATTGAATTCTGGAGTGTACTTTGTTACAATTTGACATATTGCTGAGAGGAGCATTGTTTAATATTACTTCACAGCCGTATTTGAGTAGGTCAAAGACGTTCGGCAGTTATTTATGGCTGATATAAACCGGATAGTTCGTCATCTATTACTGCTGTTATTCGTAGTAACTTCTCTTGGCAATCAGAATGTTTGTGAACAAAAAATATGTAAATGTTCGGTGAAAAACGGCAAATCAAGGGTCGATTGTCGCAGCAATGGCATAACAGAAATCTACCCTCAAGAACAATTTCCGAACGACATGCAAATCTTGTAAGTGCTATTGTGATCTTTACACTTGGCAACGAAAAGTTTGAAGAATGTTTTGTCAGTTTACTGTTATAATTCCCCCAGAAAACACGCGTACATAGCTACGTTTTATGTCAATAATTTTTCAGCATGCGTTTCCAATGTTTGTTTACGTTCTATGACTATGGTTGGGTTATGTGCCTACGGGAGAACGTGTCCATTTCGTTGTTTTATGGGTTATTTGTACACAAAATCCCTAACTGTATTTTATTTCTTCTAGGGATCTGTCGAAAAATAATATATCCATCATAAGAAATGGATTTTTAGATCATCAATTTAAACTAAAGCGTTTGTAAGTATTGCTTTTCAATATTTGGGAAAACATGTTTATTAATGTTCCTGTTTTGATCCAAATGAACTAGCAGATACGAGATATCTTACTAAAATAGTTTTTTACTTCCTAACGCTTATTTTTCTCGTTTTTTTTTGGAAGTGAATACTTTTCCTTTTCTGTTTGAAAGCTGACAAAATTAACAAAATGTTGCAAATTAACGACCTCTTCGCTTTGTGTCATTGTATATGCAATGCATTTTTTTATATTGGGCATTAACATTTTGAAAACAGTCGGTTTAGCAAGAAAATATCGAACAAATATGCCATGTTTTTGATAAAAAACTTTGGCACATCGTGAAATTTAATAGTAGCTTTTATGCCCTTCCTTTGTTTGTCTCCTTGAGATAAACCACAAAATTAGTTTTGCAAAGCCAATCTGTGCACGTTAATTTACTTTCCCTGGCAGATTTTACGTCAAGAACTAATTATCTTAAACGAATTCATCTGCGCTGACGACAAAGTTTCCCAAAAGCAAGAAATTGTTCTATGTTTACACATTTTAAGGTCGAAAACAACATGAATTACATGACATTTGGCTTTGCCACAGGAAATGGAAATTTTTGGTTTCCATTGGGTTTCTACATTTCCTTCCTTGACTGAATTGAAGTTATACAATTAATCGATTTAGATTGAACTTTAGAATTTGAAATATGGAGAAAGCTGATTTTTAACACTGACAATCTCTCAGTGTTGTAACTTTGGTGGGGAAATACAATATGCCTCGCTATATATAGCCTGTGGTTTTGTTTGCACACTGTCTGTTAGCTTTGTATTGTATTTTAAATAGCTGTGTGCAAGATAAATGTTTGGCATTGTTTGCCTCATTTGAAAGTCATGGGTTGTCAGTTTAGGGTTTAGCTTGGCTAGATTGCACAGTTTGGCAAAATGTCACCTCACCAATGTCACCTTCAGTAACATGACCCACTGTAGACACTATGATCCAGTCTATGATCTGTTTAGCTTTTAGATCTGTTTCGACGCCAGGTTGAACACAAATTTCTGAAAGTACGAATTGTAGTCCGGGGGGGGGGGTTGGTTGACAAGTCAACTTGTCGCTCTTGCAGTGCGCCAAATTTTACCGACGTATTAACCGTGGTTAGCCAAAGGTAACAACTTTGTGAATGGTAGAAACTTTGTGCCGTTATTGTCTTATATGCCCAGGGTTTATTCCAGTCTGGGTTTTTTTATGTTTGTATTCAGTCAGATAAACAGAAATACAATAAATGCCTTTTTCGGATAAGAAAAATGGTGTTTGATACAATTATGATGGAAGCACTTGCATGTAACTAATGTGAAATTATAATCTGAAAACTGAATTAATTGCAGCAATACATGCTTCTGGAAAGTACGTCACCTTGCCTGTACAGTCCAGTGCCGTAGCCAGAATGATGGTGGGAGCACATATTCATATATTCATACTCACACACCATAAAAACAATTGATTTCAAAAGAAATTAACAAAGCAGAACACAAATATATGAATATGTGCCCCCCCCCCAATTATCGTTCTGGCTACGGCACTGGTACAGTCTTGTTTTTGTGACGTTAGCATTTAGCTAATGTCACATACATGAAAATAAGGCTATATATAGCCATTTCCTGAAGGGTGTATTGAACCCTGGTTTAGGCAAAGTGAAAGGCCCAGCCAGCACTTATTGTTATATGCTGACACAATAAACACCAAAAGGAAATAATGAACAGGTAGCAGTAGCTTGTAGGTTATTTTAGGCTGTTTATTTTTCTAAAGGTATCTGCAGAAGAATGCCATCAAACAGTTGGAAAAGAGAGCATTTGTTGGACTTGGTGACTTAAACCGACTGTAAGTGGAACCAGTCACATTTGGCATTTCTTTTATAATGTTGACATAAAACAATCTTTAAATTTTGCATGATGTAAGATTCTCCTGTTCATAAGTCAATAGGTCAATGCAAACATTCTACAATATCTTTCTATCATTCTTGTCATCCTCATCCTTACTTTTTGTCTTTTTCAACCTTTTTTTTCTTCACTCTCATTTCCATTGTTCAAGGTCATGGGGATGGGGTGAGAGGGGTGCACCCATAATCTCCATGGCCAGGTAGGAATGTGTTACAAATGTAGTGTCATTTGACTATATATATATATATATATATAGCCAATAGTACATCCAACAAATGGATAGGAAGAACTTGATTTGGGTCCCAAATGTTTAGCTGGGTCCCAACATTGATTTTAAAATCAGCCCCTAGGCCACACCATCTGCAGGGCCCCTTCTCAAGTTAAACCCAGGTAAAGTTGGGCCTTTCTAATGCTGTCTGCTATTTCTGCTGTTCTGAAATTCCAACAATCATCTGAGAACATTAATTTAAGAAGTCTATCTTCAGCCATACCTGTAGCTTATAACCAGTACAAAATAGTTTGTAACTATTGTTTTACCACAATGCTGTAGGTCCATAAAACAAAATAAACTTGTCCAACTTAAAGAAAATACGTTTCTTGGACTTCCTAAACTGGTTGCTCTGTAAGTAGCGTTTATAGTCACTTGTACACAGTTGTTATCCATTCAAAGTAAATTTTGTTGCATTCTCAGACATTATTTCATTCCAGCGTGAAAATTCTGTTTTTTTCTGTCACTTTTTAATGTATTATGCTATTATCAATGTTTCTTTGCATGTTGTAGTGATTTAATGGGTAATAGAATCAAGAGCATCAATAAACATGCATTTTTTGGATTAAAGAATTTAAATAAAATGTAAGTGTTGAATTGTGAGTCAGTAAATTTTACTTCAAAAAGTGTTATTTCATAAAATTATAATCATGTAATTTTTGTAGAAATTTGAAAAATAACAGTTTTACAACGATTTTAAATGGCACATTTGATGAACTAACTTCTCTGAAAAGGATGTAAGTAGCATTTAGTCAGTTAAGCCCCCGTCCTTGATTAATTAAGCACCACTGATGATTTATCAGATTTAATTGAGTGAGTGAGTGATGTATGAGCTAAAAATTCATTGTAAAGGAGTTCTGTCTGCAGGTATAGAACTACTCGAGTACATAAATAACAATAAACTTGCATAGTGAACCTAACTTCTCTCTTCATCATACCAGTGACTATCTTTTACTGTGGAAAAATACAAGTAAAACTTCGACCTTTCGAGCGAAGGGGGCCGACAAAGCCATTATGGGCCTTTGGCAGCTTGAAACGTTGAAGTTCTGAAACACCGTTCTGAAAAATACTGAAACTGACTCAATCCAGATTCCTGAGCATGGTTGTTCAAAGCTGGATAATAGTGCTAACCCTGGGTTAAAATTTAACCTGCTGTTTTAGTTTATGTATTTCTGGCTTTTGGCACATCCATCTGTTTTAAAACTTCACAGAAGAAAACTCTCAATGGTCCCAGCAAAATGTGTAAAACTCCTCAAACTCCCAGCAAAATGTGTAAAAATGCATTAAACGCTTAAAAATACGTATAAAAAGTTTATCTCAATTTGCTATCAAGCGATTTATTTGTGTAGCTCATTATGCATGCAGATTCCGATGTTTACGTCATTGTATTTTCATATAGTAGGATAATATACTATATGAAAATACAATGAAGTAAACATCGGAATCTGCATGTATAATGTATTAATGAGCTACACAAATAAATCGCTTGATAGCCAATTGAGACGAACTTTATATGTATTTTTAAGCGTTTAATGCATTTTTACACATTTTGCTGGACCGCCTATGGTTATTCTGTATTTTTAACTATCCATGCAGATATCCTGTTCATTGTTGGCAAACAAAATCTCTTCATTAGAATCCATAACAACGCTAAAGGCCAGGTTGCTAAACAAGAAATTCGGTTTTAAAACGTAAACCTAAAAAAACCCGTAAACCCCCCCCCCAAAAAAAACCCGTAAAAACGCACAAGTTGTTACAGGTCTGCAACAAGTTGTTACAAATCTGTTCACAATCTGTCAACAAGTTGTGTTCGCACTGCTTGTTCCCAGTTGTTGTAACAAGTTTGGACCAAGCTGTTAACAACTTGTAGCAAGCTTGATGGCATTATCAGACTTGTCAAAAGGTTGTTCTAACAAGTCTGATGCAGTCATGACAAACAAGAATGTTGCAAGGTTGACGACACAAGGTTGTAACAATACTGCTATATCATGACTGTATCGGACTTGTTGGAACAACCTTGTTCAGGCTTGTTACAAATTGTTGACAGCTTGTTCCAAACTTGTTGACAACTTGTGACAAGCAGTGCGAAGACAACTTGTTGACAAACTTGTTACAAGATGTGAGATTTTTGCGCGTGTATCCGAAAAAACTCGCATCTTGCAGCAAGTCTTGTACCAAGTCTGCCAACAAGCTGTCAGGAAGAGCATTGGGCTAGTATTCCAATGGTCGTAGGTTCGAATCCCGCCGTGGCCAGGCATATTTTTCAAGCCTGCCCGGTGTGGATATACACTCAGAGTAACATCACACAAACATCTTATTCACCTGAGTACATTACACCAACACAGCAGATTGCAAGCTGTCAACAAGTTCTATTCACACTGCTTGTCCCAAGTTGTCAACAGGTTTGGACAACCTTGCCAACAGTTGTAACAACCTTGTTGATTATTATCAGAGTTGTTGCAAGGTTGTTCCAACAAGTCTGAAACAGTCATGATATAACAATATTGGTACAACCTTGTGCTGTCAATCTTGTAACATTCTTGTTATATCATGACTGTATCAGACTTGTTAGAACAACTTTGTAACAAGTCTGATCAAGCTTGGTACAAGTTGTTAACAGCTTGCTCCAAACTTAGTTCTTACCAGGTTGATGACAATAAGCTCAAGCAACTTGTTACGAACAGCCTGTATTAATCTTGTTGGAATAACTTGTATAACAAGTCTATTCAGGGACGCCGGAACTGGGGGGGGGGCAGGAGGGGCAGCTGCCCCTGTTGTCTTTTGCTAGGGGGGGGGCAAGAGGGGCAGAAGTGCCCTTTTAGTTGTAAAATACTACCTGATAAATCACTTTTCCATTTCGGGCAAAATCATGAGATTCAGGTAATCTATAGGCGCAGAGAAAGTTAATTTACAAAAATAAGTGTGAATTTGGAAAAGAATGAGGTTAATTTACAAAAATTGTAGAAAATTTTTGGATTTTAGAGAGAAAAAAATTGGATAAATGGAGAAAATTGCTGATGTTGGGAAAAATTTTTTTACGTCACGGAAAATTTTTGTATGTCCGGAAAAAATTTTTGACCCCTAAAATGGTACACTGACTGAAATTTTTTTTGCGACGGGGGGGGGTGTCGCCAAAAAAATTAATGTAAAAAAAATTTCAGGTAAATTTCGAACTTTTGATCTATAGAGGTGCCTTTGGTGTGCGTCTGCCCCCCCCCCCTTTGCCTTAGCCTTTGCCTTTTTATCGTTCCGGCGTCCCTGAGCCTATTACCGTCATCAACCTTGTTACAAGGTTATAACAACTTCTTCTAGACTTGTCACAACAGCTGGGAACAGGCAGTGGGAACACATCTGATGTTGGCTTGACATAACCTTGTTACAAGTTGTTCGCAGCAGTCTGTCGCAATTTGCACGTTTTTACGTACGTGTGTACGTGAACTCCGAGGCAAAATCGTTCAAATTTATGTATGCGATTCCGTATTCATTTGGCCTCGTGTGAATGAAACCACAAACTGAAAACAGTGTGATCAAAGATATTAAAAATATTTTGCAAGTTCAAAACTTCAATAACAAATATCGCTAATTAAGAACAAATAACTTTCCGTCTTTTGATTTTCGCGTTCTTTCGTTTTGAGATTCCGCGGGCTTCGTTTGGTTATTTGGTATCTTCGTAAACGTCACTCATGACTTTTGTGAGACTGATATGTTCTGCTATGAGATTACGATGCATTACTGTCATAACGCGATACAACGTACGTATAAACTCAAACATGAATCTTCGTATTTTCGCCAGATTTTGTTCGATTCTCTCCACTAAATAGCCAATGGCGATAAGAATTTTTGCCAATGTGTCTCCAAATTCCACTTTCTTCATTAAAAGTAGATGAATGTTTTGAATAAGACGTTGTATCTCGGAGGAAAGTTCGTCTAATTCCGCCATAATTTGGGAAAGACTGTCTAAAGCAATAAATGTAACCTCTCCATCTGTTTTTAAATCCATTTTTGAGCAAACGTTCTCAGATTTTAGTAGAAGAATCCTTGTTAAGAAGGATTGTTTAACAGCATAAGATTGCAGACTTATCAAGTTTAACAAACGAGGCCAAAAGCCACAAGGCCAGCTGTTGTGATTACATATTTAATGTAAATGAATTCTGGCAACTTGACGTTATTGCGCTAATTCAAAACCACACACAATTCGTTAGGTGAAAAGAGTCAGCCAACCGAAAGTCGTGGGTTTTCCCAGTTGTTGTCAACAAGTTTGGAACAAGCTGTTAACAACTTGTAACAGCTTGATGACATTATCAGACTTGTTACAAGGTTGTTCTAACAAGTCTCACACAGTCATGATATGCCAAGAATATTACAAGGTTGACGACACAAGGTTGTAACAATATTGTTATATTATGACTGTATCGGACTTGTTCGAACAACCTTGCAACAAGTCTGGTAATTCCATCAAGCTTGTTAACACTTAACTGCTTGTTCCAAACTTGTTGACAACTTGAGAGTCCAGGGGTAGAAAAAATAGGCGAGCACGCGAGCACTGCTCGCAGGAAATGTTAAACAGCTGCAGGAAATTCCTTTAAATGAAGATTTGCTATTGGAAATTTGAAGGAAACCTTAACACCTATGTCCCACTATGGGCGCAACAACATATGGTTGACAGACATTATTCCTTGAATTTAAAACCATGGTCGGCTAGAACACTTTATGTTTATGCACATGAAGGATTTAGCACAAAAATACTCGTTGGTCTGCAGGAAATTTTTGTCTCCAGGTTGTGCTCCCAGGAAGAAAATTCTTTTTCCTGCCCTGCTTGAGACAAGCAGTGCGCGAACACAACTTGTTGACAGCTTGTTGCTGGGAGACTTTGCGATAAGATGTGAGATTTTTACGAGTGTACTTAACATACACGCGTAAGAATCTCACATCTTGTAGGAAGTCTGTCAACAAGCCGTCAACAAGTTGTGTTCGCACTGCTTGCCCCAAGTTGTCAACAAGTTTGGAACAAGCTGTTAACAACTTGTTGATACTATAAGACTTGTTGCAAGGTTTTTCTAACAAGTCCAATACTGTTATAATATAACAATATTGTTACAACCTTGTAGCATTCTTATTATATCGTGACTGTATCGGACTTGTTAAACAACTTTGCAACAAGTCTGATAATGCCATCAAGCTTGTAACAAGTTGTTAACAGCTTGTTCCAAACTTATTTCAACAACTGGGAACAAGCAGTGCGAACACAATTTGTGGACAGCTTGTGAACAGATTTGTAACAACTTGTTTGCAGACCTGTGACAACTTGTGCGTTTTTACGTGTGTACCTCAGAAGCTAGAGGGAAATTAATGAGAATGAAAAGTAACAGCGCAGTGTAATGCGATCCATGCTTAGCAGTAGTGGTATATTTCTGTATATTGTGGCAATAAACCCTTCCGGAAGGTGTGCCATCTTGCGTATAGACCCTCGTTTTCGTGGATGTGAGAGATTAGTAACGTCTCAATCACGAAAGCACGGCTCTATAGCCAAGATGATGCACTTTTTGGAAGGATTCATTGTATAAAAAAGTAATTGCTTTAACCTTCCTTTTAGCGACATGAAAGCAGTGCCACTTCATTGTGATTGTAAACTCAATTCCTTCGCGGCATTTTTAACGAAGGCACCGGCTGCTCTAAAAGTCCTAGGCACGTGTGACGATACTAATGACAAGCTGGTCGATATTAAAGGAACCAATCTTTGTGGTAATTATCTTTTTGCAATATAGATGTCCTTTTGATAACGTTCTCTTTTCTATTTTCAAACCTTCGGAGTGTGTTTTGACTATTTTTCTGTTCTGTGGCCAAATTTTATTTATCAAATTTCAAGGCTCTGAGTTAACGCCCGTTTACACTTGCGATTTTAGGTGCGATTTTAGGTGCGATTTTCGTCTTCTGATGGATGTGAACGAGTGGATGAGTCAGGGATGGATCCAGCATGGTCTGGTAGGGGGGTGCTCCGCCAAAAAAAATTTTCGGAAAGCAACAACCTCCCCCCCCCCCATCGACAACTTTTTAGGGAAAAATTTTTTCCGGACGAGTACGTTGCAATTGCTTTCCAGCGACTTTACACATCCATCAACTTGCTTAACCACTGCAAAGTCTAGCTACAGTATTTGAATTGTAATTGTTGTTCACAGTTCGCTTATCATCATGTTATTACTCAAATTACTGAATCTCATTTTGTCTCTGATAATTTTTTGCTTTATCATGAAAAATAGCACCCCCCCCTGCACCCCTCCTGGCCAGGGCTAGGGGGGTGTGCACCCCCCTGCACCCCCCCAGTAAATCCATCCCTGGGATGAGTTATGTTCAGATGACGACTTGCATGATGATGTTAAATATACTCTACTCGTTCACATGCATCAGAAGACGAAAATCGCATCAGAAATCGCTGCAAAGATTTATGCAAGTGTTAAACGGTCCTTTATGTTTCCTATTGCCAAAATTGACTTTCTCACGCCCAATTGCTCAAAAGGTCCCCTCCTCCTGTGGTCCACCGCCGCAACTCGCAAGCTACGCGGTCCGAAACCAAACTGCAACAAATTATTTTTAGTTACTTGCAAATATATATATATATTTATTTGCTTAAGATTTTGGTTTACGAAACACAAACAGTGCTCAATACCATATAGATAGAGCGTAATATAGTTTTTCGTTTTACCTCAAAAAACCACAACAGTCTGTTTCATCCGTATAGGAATCATCAGGTGGTCTGATGATTCCTATACGGATGAAACAGACTGTTGTGGTTTCTTGAGGTAAAACGAAAAACTATATATTTATTATATAGTAGAGGGTGAGATACTGAAAAATACACAGTGAGATATTTTCCATGTCTTCACTAGTGAAGGTATCGATCACGTGACTTTTAGTATTTATGCAATTTTTTGCTTGGGACTATATAATAAACAGAACATTACATTACACGGTGGCTTGAAGATATGACTTTTATCTCCTCGTGTTAAAAACAATATTTTATTCACTCGCTGCGCTCGTTCGTAAAATATTGTTTTCACCACTCAAAGAAAAAACTTTACAGTAAACGTCATATCTTCGCGCCGCCTTGTAATATCCTCTATATATATATATATATATATATATATATATATATATATATATATATATATATATATATATATATATATATATATATATATATATATATGTATGTATATATATATATATATATATATATATATATACAGGCATATAGGGAGACCAATGTCGCCACATGAAATAAAATATTTCTAAACTATTTTTCTAGAAAAACAAGAGGCTGTTATCAACCCAAGCGAAGATCAGATAGTTTCGGTTGGTGATAGTTTCGTTATTACGTGCAGAATAGCTACCAAACGTAAACGAAACCTTTACTGGAGGAAGAACCAAAACCCACTGCCTAAACTTGTGCATGTCGTGACGCATTTTGACGGAAAAAGGGTGATGACTTTGGTGAAATTTGCGTCCATAAAATGGGAAGATGGCGGGACTTATATGTGTTATGGCGATAATAGAATAATCGCCAAAGAAATAGTCATCAGTGTTGTTACATCTAAAAGTTATATGTGTTCACGTAATACGACGAAAGTTGGTCATGATCATTTTCTTTGGCCTGTGATAAAGGAACGTTCGACTGCCGTCGCTCCCTGCCCGTGGCCCAATGACAAAGGCATTCAGACCAACATACGGCGCACGTGCACGTCAAATGGAGTTTGGGGCGAAGTGAATTTAGGCAATTGCCAGTTGCTGTCGTTATCTAAGAAACTGATTTTGTTAGCCCAGGTAAGTGTGCATGTGTCATTGTCGCTATATACAATACACGTGGGTTTCACTTGGCGTTATGTATCGATCAATTCGAAACTTCACCACCACCACCCCCCCGGGCATACCCCGGGAATTTGACTTCAAGTCTTCTCCAGGGAGTAGGGAATTTGACGTTCTAGGTCTTCCATGTGGTCGGGCATTTGATAACGGGGTGGGGAATTTGAACCGGAAGTCTTAAAATTTTGCCCGTTTTCGCGTGCTTCCTGCATGCACAGAAAATACTTCGCATTGGCGGCAAATACAGTTTTCTCAGATTTCGAGGGAAACGGCCTCAATTTTGTGAAAAACTGGCTCAAAGAAACGGGCATGGAAAATCTATGTGCTTCATTTGAAGGTATGGACTACATAATTGTGTAAAACTGTTAAATTTCCACAAGGTATCCAAACTTTTTACGTGAATTTCGCTATCTTGTCGAAAAACATTTCCGCATATTTTGTACTTTTTGTATTTACTGTTTCATAATTTTCATATGAAGGTGGGGCATTTGAACGCTTAATTTCTTGTTACAGTGGGGCATTTGAAGACATTTTTGCACAGGGGGTGGAGAATTTGATCAGTCAAATTTCAAAAAGTTCAAATTCCCGGGGTCGGCCCGGGGGGGGGGGGGTGGTGAAGTTTCGAATTGATCGATACATTACGGTACAAATTCAGGATGTTAGCCAGAAGATTTAAAAAATCGGCAACACACCTTTTCGATAATTACGTCACAACTACACTATTTTTAACTTAGGACCACCATCAATGGAAAGGATTTTCCAGTTTTTTTCTCGTGGGCTATGCACAGAGAAGCAGAACATCCTTTTTCAACACATGCATGAAAAAAATTCTTTATTTTGATCAATTATAAATATGGAAATAAGCATTAACACGAAAACGAGGCCTCGTTTTCGTGTTAAAGCTTATTTCCACATTTATTGGTCAAAATAAAGAATATATAATAGTTACGTTTTTGGCTGATCTACAGTAAATTGTGAAATTGCTGGCTATTTTCTACTGTAGCTCTAACACTCCAGAATGACGATTATGACTGTCAAAATATGTACAGACCTATTTCAGGGATGAGTTTACTGAAGTCCATTTTATTTTAAGTCCTCTTTCGTTATTTAGTTACTCAAGAAAAATGATTTTGTCGACATTGCGAGAGTTGCAGGACAATTAAAATTGTTAACAGATGCATCGCCATATCAAAGTGCTGAAAATATCACTCTGGCGTTTGATGTCTTTGCTGGAATTATTCGAAAGAATATACCATTCAAGGGCAAGGTTGGTACACGTCTTTATTTTTATACTAGCTAGATTGGTTTATCCGAATATTTACAGTATCCCTTCGCATCGTGCGAAACAATTCTACTAGTGAAAAACCGACTTAAGTTTACATACGGAAATTGACCCGATTTTTCAGTTATTGGATGATATGTTGGCGAGTTTCAACAACGTGATGGAAGTCAATGACGGAACACTTTATGCAGCGGAATCGAGAGATCAATCACCTTCGAGGTACGTTTGAAACTGGAGGACGTGGTGGTCCTGAATAGGTAGTACAATAAACTTGAACTGTCTTTGTTAATGTAGGTAGTGCCAATCAAATGAACAAGCTTTCGTTGGTATAGGGATGCAACTACCTGAAAAATATAAGTTTCAAGCGAAGGCCCTTCGTCTGTAGTAAGGACCTTCGCTCGAAACGTCGAAATTCTCCTTATATTAGACACCTTACGATTTTAGGACGGCAACGCGACGGCCAAAACAAACTCCTTCAAATAAATGTGTTCCAACAAATTAAAACTTTTAAATGCAATTCAAGTAATTCAGTCGCAATCCGGCACGCCAGATTCCACATGTTCATACAATTTGTTTTTTCTACAGACTTGCCACTTACCTGGAATTAATTTCTCGTCGACTATTAAACGAAACGACATCCCATGCACTAAGTAATATTGTGATTGGCTCAGTTAAGGAAATTCATTCAAAAGAAAACAAAACATGCAAAGTGTTCTTTGAGACAGAAGTACGGCTACGGCCTGGTGGTGTTTACTGTGAGACAAACAAACGCAAGGTAAGATCTACTTTCATAAAAATACAACTAAAGTTTTGTTTTCTTACTTGGAGCAGTTTAGAAATGATAGGTAGCTTTCCAGTCTGAATAACGTCAGTTCAGGTTGCTTAATACTGTAAGCGGATGGCCTTAATGGATTTTCATTCTTATTACTTGTTAGTTTGAAACTAATAGAGCTATCCAGGATAAGTAGAGGTTGTTTGGTTTGGCCAGCTTTCGCCTTTCGTATTGTTTCAGTTCCGGTAAATATTGCCTCGCCTTCGGCTCGGCTGATAACGCTTACTTCGACCTTGATAATTCCGCATATCAACAAAAACCCTCATCCAATAATTGTTACTTATTTTATTGCTGGTTTTTATCCTAGGATTATTATGTGGCCGTAAATATACCCGGCACAATATTGCAGCGTTGGCAGGCTGCTGGCCACGCCGTGAATGATCTAAAACTTCAATTTCTCGTCTATCGTAACGCTAAATTATTCCCTAATGTTATCTCAAGCAAGACTGAGGAAATTCTGAGAGACAGAAATGTCTCATCCAGTGTATTGGCGATTCAAATGGGTAAGAATAATAAGTTCTCATTTTGCATATATATTTTTAACTCACGGATGTTGTGAATCTTTGTGATTACTTGAGTGTGGGGCAGTTAAACAATGTGAAATGCGCGCACTGTTTGCCTGCGAATCGGGCCTTTCAGAACAAGAAATCAGGCTGGAGCACGCGTTCGTTCTTCTCCTCAACGGCCTTTGATTTTTAAATACTGTATATTTTTTTATGTCGTCGAATTCGTGTCGTACATATCAGAATATTTATACAAGGATTTCTTTGGCTTAACTGGCTAAAACAGGAAAATTGAAACTATCGGACTAACGTTTTTTCTTTTTATTTCAGCGAACATAGAAGAATTGAATCTCACTGATCCTCTGATCATCAAGTTTGCAACTCAGGTTTATTGTTAAGATGTTACCTAACTAGGGCCCATTCCATCAACACGGTCAGATCGATCAGATAGTTAAGTGAAACACAATATTGGGGACGGTCTGACTGGAACATTTGAAGCAGCTTGAAAGGAGATCTATTTTGGCCAGGTTTTTCCTGGACCAGATCTTTCCATAGATACGGAGACAGAAATTCTGGCCTGACCGGTTTGGCCGGGAAGCTCCCGTAAATTGCCTCCTTTGCAGGCTCTCGTGTAAAAAACACGCGTGAACATCCCATGATGTAGAATTTTTTTGGTGGGAACATGATAGAATTTTCTTGGCAGGACCAACATTTTTATATACGATTTCGCCCATATCGTATTCTAATAGACAACTTGCATGTTAGACTAATTTTTGATTTAGACAAAAAAAAGTAAATTCCCGTAAAGAACTTATCAAAATCAGTAAAATTGCAAAATTTGGTTACAAAATGTTGTAAAATACAGAAAATATAGCCTTGCGAAGTTTGCATATTTTCAGTATGTTTGTATTACGTTCGGAAATTGTTACCATTTTTGAGCCGAAAATGGTAACAATTTCCGCACGTAATACAAATATACTGAAAATATGCAAACTTCGCAAGGCTATATTTTCTGTATTTTACAACATTTCGCAACCAAATTTCGCAATTTTACTAATTTCATTATGTTCTTTTTAACTGTGGTGTTTGATTCCCTTCTCTTTACTTAGATTAAAATTTAGTATAACATGCAAGTTGTCAATTGATTGATTGCTCTGCAGAAGCCATTGTGATTGGTTCATGTCAGCCAATCATAGTTAAGTTTTCTATGATAAATGGTAATCGTTTGCAATGCAGAGCCAATTCTAAATCTATAATGCAAGTTGTGAGCAAGGTCTTTGATTTTTTGTAGCCTGGAACGGAGCCTATAGTCAGCCATTTTGATTTCGGTGAAGATGGTAAGATAAAAACTGACATTCCAGAATTCGTACTGGGTTTTTTTTTTCAATTAAGCTTATTTTGCAATTGACTTTTCTTAGGCTAAGCTCAGTAATGAGAAGCCACGCATATTCAACATTTACAATTTCAATATTACATGTATTGACAGTATATTTATGGTACAGAATACCTGAAAAAACTAAAAAGCTAATGTACCATGTAGTCTGTGCATGTTGTGGGATTTTTATAATGACACATTATATGGACAACACATGACAAAGAAACGCAACAATGTCGCAAATTAAATATAGGAAATCACACGCCAGCGAGGTCTACTATGATATAACTGAAAATAATATATATAATATTCTGTAACAATTTCAACAAACATGAAATTTCAAAAGAGCTAATAGTTTGCTACGAACTTATTTCTCAATTTTAATTTACAGTTTTTTTAGGGAGGAATGCTTTATGTCTTCATCAATAGCATTCCAAACTTTAGATCCTTTGAATCAAATATTAATTTGGTTTTGTATTTCATTTAGTATTTCATTTCTTTTTGCTGTAGGCAAGCAATGGTCTAGGAGCACTGACTGCGTGGTTAAGGATTCAACTGTTTCAACGACAACAGTGGAATGTAGACGTTTGGTGAACAAAAACCTGGCCATTATGTCAGTAAGTAGATTGCTGTAACTTCCATCCAGTGTCTTCATTGACGCTAGATATGATACTGTACCTCTGCAGTTTCTATCAAAACTCTCCCTGGAGATCACGTCGTTCTTCATGAGAAACTCACTTTGGTTTTCATTTTATTTCAAGCACTTGGGAAGTAAAAATATCACATCAAATATAAATGTCGTTGTCTATCCAGTGGAGATTGTTGTATATATTGGTGCAGTTGTGACGTCACTGTTGTTGATTGCAACTTTGAACACATTTGCTCTCGCAAGGTATTGTGATAACATTCATGCAGTACTATTCCACTTAGCGAACACACACCTAGTCAGTGTGCGGACCTAACGCCACGTTTACACTGGACCAGATAGGTTTCGTAGCGACGTGAAAAAGCACCTTTCCGTATCTTTTAGGAACGCTATTTTAGGAACACTTTTTTGGGGAATTATTGCAACGGAGAGATGTTGTCTCCAGGGGCGAAACTTGGGGAGGGTAGCATATATTTCTGCGCGAATTGCATATATTTCTGCGCGAATTGCTTGACTAGAACCGGCTAGCCAAATAGAATGTATACGAATCATTTCGATTGGCAGGGCAATCAAAGATTTTAAATGATAGATTGTAGAGTTATTAATTAAGTAACTTATTACAGCTAACAAACAATAAGCAGTTCGTATGCATGTACATTGGCATCGGCAGTTCAATTATACACGTTGCATGCTGCAGGGCATCATTTGTTTTGGCAGGGCAATTCTGCCAGACACCCCCCGAATTAAAAGGGGCTAGTTTCGCCCCTGGTTGTCTCGCTTAGCTTCTGAAAGTTGTACACTGTACTACATTCCGTATCGGATAGGTGCCTATTTGCATCGTTACGAAAAGCTACCAATTGCACCAATTATTTTACCTAAAACTAATGTACTTATTTTTCTAGAACTATTCGATTCAACCGTGATGACATCGTAATGCTGATGAACGCCTGCTTGGCGTTGTTGGTCGTCGTATTGTCATTTGCTTTCGGAATCAACCGTACAGAATACTCGGTTTTGTGTCGATCAATGGGAGTGTTTCTTCATTTCTTCTTCTTTGCTTCACTGCTGTGGCTTGGAAGTTATGTCGTGTGTTTGACACGTCGTTTGATGCCTCGCAAAAAAGAAACGAGCGAGGAAGTATTTAATCCTGTCTTGATGTACTATATGGTCAGTTGGGGTAAGTACTGCGGACGGCCGTGGTTACTTCATGTTGTGTATGTATTATCGGCCCGAATTGCTCTAGCGAGAGATGATCCGTCTGGACGAGCTTGGGAAATATATCCAATAGTTCGTTTGATAATTTATCTTTGTACAGATGCGGCAAACAGCCAATCATCTGTCAAGCCCACTGAACTATGCTTATTACTGGAGGAAGTCCTCGGACAAAAAAGTGAAACCAAGAACATGGTAGATTTTGACGCTACTGGTTTCATTTTTCAAATGCCAAGTTTTTTTGTTCACTTTTTTACGGACGAAAGATAGGAGCACGTCCTTCAGTTATTGTATAGCTCAGTGGTCAAGCCGGACTATTTCCGTATTTTGTCTACTCGGGCGAAATTTTGTGCGTCTCGTTTCGGCAGATATTTCGTTATAAGTACGTGTATGAACAACTATCAAGAACTATCAAACATAGTGTTTACGTAACTGATATTAATTGCCTTCATTTCTCATGGTCAGGTGTTCCGGCAATTATTTGTGGTATGACTATCGCTGGCAATATAACGAACTACAAAGCTACAGACTAGTAAGTAAATCCTTCTTAAGGCCGATTCGCACTGCACAACTTTTGCCTAAAACTGTCACATGCAACCATACAACTTAAATTGTACTGTGTAAATCAAGCACACAACTCGTTTACGTCCTAGGTGAGTTGTGTGCTTAAGTTGTAAGCAGCTTGCATGCGACTGTTTTGGGCAAACGTTGTGTAGTGTATTAAAGAATAATTCAAATGTTTACATTTTATACCAGGCTCCTTTATCAATTGTGGGTCACCATCAAGCTTGTTTCCCATTGTTTTCTCTAAAACGTGGTGACATCTAGAAGTGGTGACAAAGTCACGACTTTTTAGGTTTCATTCATCGGGAAACTGACTAAAAAATACCACAAAGTACAGTCTGTACAGTTGTGTGCGTAGTTTGCTTGAAAAACGTTTCCTTGTCAAGGCTACCAATGTATCATGCATTTTGTTGATATTTTTGCGGGTTCGTAACTTTTTACAAAACCTCAGTTATCCCAGCCGTTCCGCAAGTTGTAAGTGTAAACTAACTGTGTCTGTTCTTTTCCATCTACAGCTGCTGGTTGACAGAGAGCGCTGGTTTGGGTGCGTTTGTTGGCCCTGCTTGTCTGCTGTTCATAATCAACGCCGTCCTGCTTGTGCGTCTGCACTTACTACTGGCTCACGGTATTATGGACCGACGTCCTAGCGAGGAGAACACGGAAGAAGAGCGGTTACAAGCGGACGAACCGAGTGGCCTCGTGGAAGTACCGGACCCGAATGAAAGACAGAATGCGGAGAAGTCGGTCATAACTCTCCACCTTGTTGCAACATGGGTTGTCATGTCTCTTATTTATCTCAATTTTATTTTGGCATATTTTCTTGTCAACTCCAGAACTTCCAAACTTCGTTGGATTCTCCTAAGTTACGTCTATGCGTTGGCAAATATAGCTTTGGGTGGCGCCATATTTGGGTTTCATTGCGTTGCACGGCCGGAAGTGCGCGAGGCCTGGAAATTTGCATGGAAACAGGTACGGACGACGAAAATCCGTTGCGGCCCGTGTAGAACTTTGTGGGAAGCAACCAGAAGAAAGCCAAACACTTATTATATGAATGGACGTATTTTAGCAAACGGGCAAGTTGTCATGCAAAGAGTCGAGTCAGACCGACAGTCCAATATTACTCTCCCGTCTTCAGCTGCTCTTACCAATGATGTGTTTGTTAATGGCCGACCAATGTCTAGTGCTCGACTTTCCTTACTTGATGAAGCAGATTTCCCCCCGGAGGAAAGTCCCCATGCTGGGGCAGTCGATAACGAGGTAAGGAAAGAAAACTGTTTGTTACATTTTTAAGGCGCCGTTGACTTTTGAGTTCACATCACACTGGATAGGGCTGTCAAGCACACAACTCGTTGTGTGCTTGATTTACACAATACAATTTAAGTTGTAAGCAGGTTGAATGCGACTGTTTTAGGCAAAAGTTGTGTAGTGTAAACCGGCCTTCAATACAACAAATGTTTACATTTTATATCAGCTCCTTTATCAATTTTGAGTGACCATCAAGCTTGCTTACCATTGTTCTCTCTAAAACGTGGTGACATCTAAAAGTGGTCCGATACTTTCGAATTTATACGGATAGTGAAGATGCTGAAATATTGATTACGTTCCGTACGGTTTGTGCGGTAATCATTTCCTGCTAGACCTCGCACCAGATCATTTTTAATTGTATAAAATACTTTTGTTTTTGAACAGGTCGACATTACGGAGACCGGAAACAGCGAAGAGAACCGGCGAAGTCAAAGTTCAGTACATTCTGAAAGAAAAAGCAGAGTGCATGGGGAAAGTGTATCAGAAATATCTCCCAGTATACCTGAAGTTAGTGAAGAAAATCAGAACTTGTTACCAATTCCATCAGAAACACACGAGGATCACGCGGACGTTACCGATGGCATGACGTCAAAATCCGAGTCTTCTGCGCCGACTGCTATCGAAGTACCCCAGTCGTCTGTACGGCCAGACAGTCCTGTTGTCGAGTACCCACACATTGGCCCGCACACAGGCATGGTACGACCTTTTCTAAGCAATGGGGGAAGACAGTTTCCACCCTCAAACCAGGTCGTACATCCCCACCTTGCACATCAGTTCCGGCCCGTTTATCAGGCTCCTTTTACCCATCAGGCTATGCCTGCGCACCATATTCCACCTGCACTTCATATTCCACCTGCAAGCCAACACCAGCTCGCGCATCAGGTGCTACCTGCAGGCCAAGGCCCGCCCGCCAATCAAGTCCTACCGGTCCATCACGTTATTGAACCACCTCCTCCCAGTTATCAAAAATGTATGGAAATTGCATCACAGTCAAGTTCGTCCATTGGCGACAACTCGGTTTTATCTCGTTCGAACTCCAAACGAAAACGTAATTCAAACGAATCTTTAGGTTCGCGAAACGAATCCGGATCAGTCGGACAGAGATCACGGAAGCAACTTCAAGCCCAGGCCTCTAGCTCGTCCGCTATAAGTGAAGTTCCCGGCCCAGGTTCCAGCCGGCCGAGTGACTCGGCAAACGCACGCAACGCGGCTCAGAGCCTGGGTGCTAGTAATCCCCGACCTCAGAACCGTTATAGAGACGGTCGCGCAAGGCCCGAACCTAAACAATGGAATAGGGCCACTCGGAACAAAATTGCGTATGTGCCGGTACCACATGTTTCTAAGATTCACAGAGAACCGCTACATAATGAAACCAGTGTGTGAACAATGAGTAGGTTTATACAATTATAGTATTAGGGGAAAACTGTTGAGAATTGGATAGAATGAGGCGATCGTGGCTGTTTGAAGAAATCTTTGTCTAATTGCTGAATTTGCAAGTTTATACTTCTGTCCCTGGCTATATGAAACTGTAAGACTGATACATTACATGGTTGAGGACAGCCATTTTCACTACCGAGAATACTTGTATAGTAAAACCAATGTTTCAAGGAATTAAGTAAGATGGTAGTGGTGGGGAATACACGCACAGCGTGTCGAGAGATGGAGAAAAATAAAAGAAAATCATGCCTGTATGACCGATTACAGCAGACCACGTGCAATCACCGGGGATATTTTCTTTGAGGAAACTTTAATCAAGTTCATTTACTTTGAGATGTTAGGTTAGGTGGGAAAACGATGATGACTACTGAGATTTTATTTAAGGGAACTTCATCTAATTGTTGTATTTGCACTTTTCGTGATATTGTCCTGTCCTGGCTATAAACTGTAGAAATAGTGGACCCATTACATGGTTGAGCTGTGAAGTCAGTCATTTTCATCAGCAATCAAAAATTCCAAGCGATAACACTGAGAAAAAGAATACGACATGTCCCAAGTTACAACACCGAGGTTACTTTTTGCTCTTCGTTGACAGCAATCACGCAACGCAAGGGTGCGCAGTAAGCCGCGTGATCTTTTCACACCTTTGGTCAATTAACATGGCATGCGGTATTCTTGAAACTGGCACCGGTTCGTGTATATAATTTATTAACTGTGATATGATACTGTACAAATACTTTTATAAATAAACTGGCTTTTAATACACTAATGGTAATTACAAAGTAAAATATTTCAATGCGTTTTTGCAATGTTTATTTTCATTATACTTTCTCAAAAGCAATTTCTCAGCAGTAGCGTAATTCGACGCTCAAAAGTCCGCGACCTCAGATTACATCTATTTGTGGTTTATGGTTAGTTATACCACGTATACTTATTCACAAATAACAGTATTTTAAAAACACAAAAATTTCAAACTTTTGGAAAAAGGCCAACAAGGCCAAATAAATATATATTATATGTTATAGTAAGTTATCTAAGCAGTAGACTGATTAAAAGCCAGAATATTATTTTTTAGGAGTTTTTTCCACCCTCTGGTTATCTATTTATATAATATAAAATTACACACTTTGATCATATTTCAATGACAATTGTTTAGCAAACTAAAGTTTTAATGTTAAGCACACACAGCCGTTGCAGCTTCATAATCTTAAGCTTCTTTGTTGCCGAAGTTTACTTTGTCTGCGCTTGGCTTCCAACTTGTGTAATCTGCCTTGTTCTATTTCATCATGACTAGGGTGCCACAATCGACTTAATATTCTCTCCATATTTGCAGCGAACACAGTATGTGATGGTATAACTCTGCAATGCACTTGCAACACCTCTCTTAGTTCATACATAGATATTGAGGCCTGTGTAGATGGAGGGCAGCTGCTGGCCACAGTGACTGCAGCATCCGCTTCTGTTTGTTCTGTCCGTCCTTGGTGTATGAGAATTGAATGAGAAGAGTATGAATCTAAACTGTTCCAAATATTCGGCTTAACATAACTTGTATCTAGGCCATATTTATAATGTCCATCTCTTAACCTGAAGCCACCTTTACGGGAACAGCAGGCTGTCAAAATATCCTTGATATGATGCTTCACTGCAGATATTACTAACTTAGCCGCATTTGAACCAGTGTCTTCAACAGACTCTAAGCCTGCATCCCAGGCTGCTAGGAATAACCGACCATTCATAGCCTGCACATCGGGCAGTGTAAACTCATAAGAACATAAGTTTATCTCGCTGTCATCCGTCAAAACAACTTTACCCACACTATCAGCTCCTTCTAGTACATTGTAGGGATGAAATCTTTGTTCAAAGCTTACTTTCGCCGGTCTTACATGCTTCCTTAGTTGTTCAGTGTTCCTCTGACTTGCTATAGAAGCTGCAGATGGACGCGACACGTTCTTACTTAGTGTGCCCGAGTTTAAACACATTTCCTGACATTTTGACAGAAGCGCGTACAAAAATCGATTATGTACATTAATACTGCCCTCTCCCAAAAGTTGCTTAATCTGGATGTCAAATTCCTCCTTAGAAAGCTTCTTCTTGTACCAAAGCGACAATGTTGTCCAGTATTTTGAAGATAAATCACCGAGAACTTCCAACAACTGTTCTCGCGCCTCCTGTAAGTCGGCCATTTTGAAAGTTTTTGACAAAAATGCCCACAATTTATTTGCACAGCGGTCGTTAACTTGAGTGAAACGAGTCCACGAACAAACATTTTTTATTCAGCGGTTAATCACAAAAATTATGGTCAGTGGTAATACACCCAAAAATAGAGGCCTATAAAGCATAGTAGTCTTTACTCTGTAACAGGTCTTTTTGGGACCACAGCAATCACAGGCCAGTATGATTTATAGAGTGGTTCTACAGGCAGGTGTGGCTCGTAATGCCATACTATCAAGGTTTATAGGCAGTACTGGTTATAGCAATTGGAGAAGATTTCTATGCTCTTCGGTCCAATCACTTGCTAACAAGGTAAGATTTTGCACATGCTATCGGCATGAATATTGTCTGAGGACAACAGCGGGACTCATCATGGTTTGCTACACTGCCGGCCGGTATGTAGCCTCCTCACAGCCCAAATTTGTTAATTTTGGGCTGCTAGCAGGCTGTCGGTACGTGCCCCCCCTGCGTTGACCTGCAGCTGCAGACAGGTTTATCAGCAGCTTAGCACACCAAAGCCTCTGGGTACATGTCAGGCATCTGGTAATCTCGAATATCTCTCTGAAAACAGGATTGACCAGCAGGTACCCAATTTTCTGATGGTACTAAAAAAAATGGTAAAGTATTCATGCACCCAGATAGCCTGGATCTGCCTATCATGCAAAATGTTTATTCTGGTGTTTTTGGACTATTAAATCTGATTGCAAAATTCTAGACAAATGGCAGCAAACCTGGCTTGATAGTTGGTGTTTATGAGAGTGAACATAATCAAGTGGAGTTGACAAATGTTGGAAAAGTAATCGATGAAAGAACTGATGGAAAGCTGTCCGAAAATCTTCTCATGTATGTGTTGCTTGAAACAACTTTAACTCAAAACACAACAAGTTGGACTGAAGTGCATTAATCAGTTTTTTAATTGGTCATTATGTGACATGTGATATGAGTACTTGGTTTGTTCTTATAATATGGTATCGTATTAGTTTGGTATCCAGGTTTAATTGGTTTTGTGAGTGTAGTATGTTGTGGCGTGGTTTGATTTGGGCTATTACAGTATGGTGTGATGTAATGTATGTTGTGTTATGGCAGCATTGTATGGTATGGTATGGTGACTGTGGCATTGTATGATATGGTAATTGATATATGTTACCGGTATGGTAGTTGATTTGGTGTACTCAGTGGTGTAGTGTGGTATGGTATTGTATATGATATATTGGTGGTGAAGTGTGATATTGTATGGTATCATGGAATGATATGGTAATTGGTATATGTTACCAGTATGGTAGTTGATTTGGTGTACTGTGGTGTAGTGTGGTATGGTATTGTATGGTATGGCATATGATATATTGGTGGTGAAGTGTGATATTGTATGGTATGGAATGATATGGTAATTGGTATATGTTACCGGTATGGTAGTTGATTTAGTGTACTGTGGTGTAGTGTGGTATAATGGTATTGTATGGTATGGTATATGATATATTGGTGGTCAAGTGTGATATTTAGGGATGCACCGGAACCGTTTTTTTAAGTTCCGGCCGGAACCAGATACGACCGGAACTGGAAAAAAGTTCCGGCCGGAAGTTCCAGCCGGAACCGGAACTAATTTATTAAGCCATATATAGTCATGTTACTTTGTCCACTGCCAGACAAACAGACACTTCAAATCATCAAGTAGAGAGTTCGCAAATGTCAGAATAAAAAGACTGACAAACGTTAAACGTCATAATGAAGTGTTAATAG